AGCAAAAGACAAGGATCAAGAAAAAAGCACAGAAAAACAAGAAGAATCGTAAATACGATCGGCTAATCTTCACAATTTACTTCGATATGCATGTTTTGATAATTATCAAGAATATTTACGCAATTTCACTTGACAATTTATTTTTTGAAGTTTCGAAAACAATTTATTTTTTAATAAATTTGAATCGAATATATAATTAAAAAAAAGCCTTAATAAATCACAAAAATAACTTCGTTAAATAAATGGAAAAGCAAAAACTAAATAAATTTCTTAGAGAATAAAGCCGTCTCAATGAACGATCAAACAGTGAAAATAAAACGGTTTGACAAAATTTTCTACCCTATTATTATTACTTATAGACAAGTCTTAATCTTTTCATGTTTTTAATATTTTTGGCAGTTTGCTTAGCCGATTTTTTAATTTTTCGGCCTGTTTTTTTGGCTGATTTTTTAATTTTTTGTCCGGCTTTTTTAATCTTTTTACCGGTTTTTTTAGCTGATTTTTTAATTTTTTTACCTAATTTTTTAATCTTTTTGCCGGTTTTTTTGGCTGATTTTTTAATTTTTTGTCCTGCTTTTTTAAGTTTTTTACCTGTTTTCTTTGCAGATTTCGTTAATTTTTTGCCATATTTAGTATTCATCACTTTTTTTGCGCCTTTTTTAACTCCTTTTTTGATTGCTTTGGCTCCCTTCTTTACCCCTTTTTTAATTTTTTGGGCACCTTTTTTAATTTTTTTACCGGTTTTTTTTGCAGATTTTTTAATTTTTTTACCGGTTTTTTTTGCAGATTTTTTAATTCGTTTCGCGCCTTTTTTCATTCCTTTTTTAATTTTTTTGGCTCCTTTTTTGATTTGTTTTGCACTTTTTTTGGCACTTTTTTGAATTCTTTTGGCCCCTTTTTTAGCTCCTTTTTTTACTCCTTTTTTCGGTTGTTTTGCACCTTTTTTAATTTGTCTGTCACCTTTTTTGGCTCCTCTTTGAGTTTTTTTAGCACCTTTTTTAGCTCCTCTTTTAACTTTTTTAGCACCTCTTTTAGCTCCTCTCTGAGTTTTTTTAACCCCTTTTTTTGCTCCTCTCTGAATTTTTCGGGCACCTCTCTTTACTCTTTTTTGAATTTTTTTACCTCCCCTTTTAGCACCTCTTTGTATTTTTTTAGCCCCTCGTTTTGCTCCTCTTTTTAATTGTCTAGCACCTTTTTTACTTTGTCTGCCACTTCTTTTTGCCCCTCTTTGGATTTTTTTAGCACCTTTTCGTGCTCTGCTTTGAATTTTTTTAGCACCTCTTCGTGATCCTCTTTGAATTTTTTTAGCACCTCTCCGTGTTCCTCTTTGACTTTTTTTAGCACCTCTTCGTGCTCCTCTTTGGACTTTTTTAGCCCCTCTTCGTGCTCCTCTTTGGATTTTTTTAGCACCTCTTTTTCCACCTCTTTGAATTTTTTTTGCTCCTCGTTTTAGCCCTCTTTGATCTTTTCTAGCACGATTTTTTGCTGCTCTTTTAAGTCTTTCTGCACGTGCGTTTGCATCCCTTTTAAGTTTTTTTGCTCCTTTTTTCGCTTGTTTTTTTAATGCTTTTCCCCTTGCTTTGGCCTCTTTTTTAATTTTTCTAGCCTTCATTTTTGCTAACGCTAGACCTGTCAACTGTTTTCTTCCTCCTTTTTCTTCTTCTCCTTCTTCTTCCTCTTCTTCCTCCTCTTCTTCTTCTTCTTCTTCTTCCTCTTCTTCTTCTTCTTCTTTTTCTTCCTCTTCTTCCTCTTCTTCTTCTTCTTCTTCCTCTTCTTCTTCATCCTCTTTTTCTTCCTCCTCCTCCTCTTCTTCTTCTTCCTCTTCTTCCTCCTCCTCCTCCTCTTCTTCTTTTTCCTCTTCTTCTCCCTCCTCCTTCTCCTCTTCTTCTTCCTCCTCCCCCTCCTCTTCTTCTTCTTCCTCTTCCTCTTCTTCTCCCTCCCCTTCTCCCCCCTCCCCTTCTTGCCCCTCCTTCACTCCTTTTATAAGTCTTCTTGCTCTTAGTTTTGCTTCCCTTTTAAGCCTTTTTGCTTCTAGTTTTGCTTGTTTTTTTAATGCTTTTGCCCTTGCTTTAGCATCTTTTTTCATTCTTTTACCTTCCTTTTTTGCTAGTTCTAGTTCTGATAATGGTTCTCCCTCTTCTTCTTCTTCTTCTTCCTCCACTCCCTCTTCTCCTTCCCCTTCTTCTTCATCTTCACCCATGGAGCTAGGATCTCCTTCTGCACCATCCCCCCCTTCACTAGTTGTTTCAGTGACTTCTGTCGACTCGGTGGTTACAGTTTCAACTTCGGTATCGGCATCGGCTTCGGGGGAAGAGTTTTGTGATTTGTTATAAGCGATCAAGTTATGTTTATTTTCTTTCATAATATGATCACTTTTATCTATTTGCTGGTAAATTTTATTTTTTATGTTATTTTTGTCTTCATGACGAGATTTTTTTTTTCGAAGATTTTTTTGGTTTTCTTTTGCGGTCAGTTTTTCTTTTCCTCCAGCAAGCATATCAAATACATTTTTATTGCTTAATAGCAAACAATGGTTTTTGTCAGCCACGTTTTCGTGAATGGAAATGCTCTTTGAGAGACGAGTTTCTATCACGTCATTTTCAATATTTTGCTTTTTAAGAGTGCCCTTTGAATTTTTTTGTGCCTGAGCGTTTTGCATGTATGCATCTTTTAACGTTGGATTTGTATCATTTTTGCAGTCATTGTTATTGGAATTGAAATTTTCCATCAGTTCATTTTTTAAAAATGTCTGATTATTTTGTAATGTTTTCAAAGTCGCGAAACTCGTGACAGATTCACTGGAACAATTGGTTTTCGAATTTGATGACCTACTTTTATTGTTGTTGGCGTTTTGATTTGCGTTGCTTAAAACGCTGCTTTCCGAACTGCTGCTGCTTTTTGTATCGGGCGAGTTTCCATAGTTGATTGTATTCTCCATGTCATCTATAACATAAATTGATCTCACAGTAAGCATGATGATAATCAATATCAATTATTTATTTAGTGAAAAAATAAATAATTTTTTATGTAATATTTTAAAATTAATTTTCTTCATAAAATAACAAAATAATGTACCATTGTCATTGAGTAGTCGATAATCGCTGAGGGTATGCAAGTAGACGATTAGTCCAATGAACATGATCATCTATAATGCATAAATTTAACAACAAATTTAATTTTTTTTAAATTATTTATTGTTGAGTTGATTGCTCAAATGAACTACAGCAGTCACGAAACAAACTTCATTTATCAGCGCCAAGAGTAAAGTCACAAAAGCCCATTGAAACCAAGTGTATTGTAGATAGCTTTTGATTGATTCTAAACAACCCCGCCTAAAATTAGTTGTATTTGATATGGAGTTTAATTCCTTTTGCGCGCACAAGTCGAAAGAAGATCCGCGGTCACAACAACTGCTTGGAAGTTGATCCATCGTTCTAGGGCTTGTTGTGGCGGCACTCTCCATCTTTTTAATCTTCGTTTGTTCTTCTCTGTTCTGCGTGTCAATATTGTTCAACTTTTACCGTTTTTGTTTCAATTAAATATTATTTTAGCAGTTTTAAATGATTTTTAATGTTTTTTTTTAATTTATAAATTTTAAATATTAAAACAATTTTAATCGCTTGTTATCACAAACTAAAATCAAGTTATAGTTGCAAATTATATCATAAACACTGCCTTCTTTCATAGCTAACTTGGCTCACAAATCTTTTTTGGAACCAGTCGGTATAATTGTCAACTCCACAACAATGGAATTCTTCCTGAATGCTGTTCCAAGCGTTTTTCAAGTTTGATTTTGTTTCGTACTCATTCAACGTTGACCAGAAATCAGAAAATAAAAACTGTTTGTCAGATTTTAAAATAATAAAATGGTCAAAGATTGAATAGACGGCGCGTTGGTATAATGGTTAAGGTGCCTGGCATTGCTGTTGCAGGGACCGAGTTTAAATGTAGAGATCTTCGCCTACCATATGCAAGCATGTGATGCGTGATTCAACTGTGTCCAAATGCACTGTTTTTGTAGAAATAATGTATAATAATGCATCTTTGTCGCTTGCCATGGCACAATATATAATCATATTATTAATTATATTATTATTATTTTAAATTAAATGAAATGAAAATTTTACTGCGGTAACGTCGCTATGATGAGCTCTATTAACAAAACAGCTTGCCCCGAGACAGACCATAGTGATCAACTGCGCGCTCAACAACCCGTATACTTGCCTTTTCTTTTGGGCATAAGTTGCATCTTTCTTCTTTGAACAACAAACCTGCGAGTAATTTTTAATTTGCAAGATCATTATTCACAGTTTACTCGGTCACATTATGTGAAATGGACGTGTCCATTATTTCAAAGTTCAATCATATTAATGTTTCAAATGTATAACAACCTTTGTTGTTAACAAGTGGAGCAGTAGCAGAAGGGCTGCGTTTGTGATGTAGAGGGAGTTGATAAGTAAGGCTTTGTACGAACTCTGCCCATTTTTGACATTATTGTCCGCAATCTGGGAAAACTCTTCCCTACAGATAAATCTTTGTAACCGAACAACAATAGTAATCAGTGACACAAAAAGTAACAAAAAAATAAAATTGGTGAGTGTGGACAATCTTTTGATGTTATCTTTCAGGCGAGATTCACTTTTCCATCGCCGTCTGTCTAAAACCATGCCATTTCTATCGAATTTGTTATGCTCCATTAGATTCCTACCTTAGTCCTGAAAGACTTTAAAGATTGTTCCATGACACTTCGTTTGGCGGAGCGTTTCATTTGAGGTTTGTTTGTATGTTCGACATGAACTTTTTACCATTCTTATTGAATGAAATACAAATTTTACATTCTAATCAAATGTTTTAAACTAATTCGTGCTTAAAATAAAATACAATAACAGAGAGGTTTGCAATTAGAAATAAATAATTTTAAAGATACAACATATGACGTACAACCTACGCATTTCAATTTTTTGTTTGAAAAAATTATTTCTTAAAATAAAAATTTAGGAATTAATTTAAATATTCTTTCAAATAACTACTTACTGTCTATTAAATACTAAAATATCAATAAACTGTCAACCGATTGTAATCTTCGTTCAATCTATGAAATTTCATCGAATGTCTTGACATTGATTCGGCCGGCCATTCTTAACAATTTGTGTAATGTCACATTACACATGATTGAATTGATTGATCATTTCATAGGGTGCTGAAACGACTAATAACGTAGATTTTCTGTGCCAAAGTTTACAAAATCAATATATATACATAAAGTTTAAAAATTAAAAAGATCAGTTGGAATACCAAGTGAGTTTGCCGTCAGTTTTCATCTTTTAAACTACGAAATTGTTTAATTAAATCATTGCGTATTTTTTTAGTTTTGTGAAAAATTACGAAATCAGATTTAGAGTTCAAAATTTGAAATTTGGAAAAAACTATAACAGAAATTGATGGCAGAATTCATAGCAAAAATTATTACAAAAAACATTGATAAAAAAACGGTGAAAACTACCAAGAATATAATTATTTGTGAATATATAAATAGGTTTGTAAATATTGCGCTTGATAATGTATTATAATTACGTAACATGTTGAGTTGGTTACCATAAATCGTTACGTCATTTGCTTTTGAAAAACAGATTTTCAACCATTCCAGTTTAATACTTAAAAATTCCGATTATTTTCGTAAATATTATCGAAATCAACTATTAATAACTCACAAATATTATTTAATAACGTCAAAACTGGATAAAAATAAATGTAATCGAAGTTTTGTTACGAATACGAAACAGAGAAGTAACTAACGTTCAACCAGTCAACAAATAAACAGTGAAACCTGACGAAGGCGAGCATCATCAGTTCGTTCGATCGCCTCCGAACATCGATTTGATCAATGACGATCTGGTCATTTTGTTTCAAATTATAATTAAACTTGTTTTTAAAATAGTTAGGCATCGTTATAAAAGTCAGCAAAGAAAGTTTGGCTTATGGAAAAGAACCTATTCAGGGTTCTTTCTCGTACTTTTCTGATGACAAGAATTTTTGGATCTAAAGTGATCTACTTTACAAAACGTTTTATTTTTTTGATTAATTTGAACGCATTTTTAACAAACAACCAAATGACACTTTTTCAACTTTGTAATATCAAACTCAGGTGTAGATTTTTAAGTTTGAATAAACTAAACAACAGGAAATTCCGAAACCGCTGAATGAAGAAGGATACAGTGGTGGAAAATGGCATCCACCTTTTTGCTCCTCTGTGCCAATGTCCGCAATGATCTTACTGGCAGTTAACCTTTTTGTCCTATCTGGCTATAACAACATTTTCAAGAAAGTTAGTACACTTTTTACGCCAAAAATTTGATTCCCACAGTAAAAATTTTAAACTAGAAATATTTGAAATATTTGTCTCGAAGATTTATGTTTTAATGTTATCTATTTTTTGAATAATGATTCACTGTGCTTTTTATTACGTTAGCTAACATTTTTCAAAACTCGCATCAATAGGACCCGCTAACGAACTTGCAACAAAACAATAAAGATGTTGTAATTGGAGATGCAATATACTTCAATCGGCTGAATTTAGAGGATGAAGTAAACAGCAAAGAATGGATCTTGAAAAAGTTAGTTTCTTCGTCTCACAATGATGCAGTCGTCGAGAAGATAGAACGAACGCGCCAATCGGCTGCCAATGCAACAAGCGACGATCTTAAGACCACTGAAAGCTTTGGAAACTGTAGCAAAGATAAAATTAAATGGACGCAAAATGTAGTAATGTGTCTTATCGCATTGCTACATGCTGAGGTTGAACTATTCATTTTTTTTAATGAGTAAAGGCAGTTAAAACAAATTTATTTGTGAGTTTCCTGGCATGTTACTTGCAAATTTTATATTTAAATATTTTAATCACTAGGTTGCATTACTTATGCTTTTGTGGGTTATGAGACAGTTTGATTCAATGTTATTCAATCGTCATGCTCGACTAATTGAAGGTGAATGAAAACATTCTTCAACATTTTTAAACACCTGAAATTAAAAATATTATTATGAAATATAGTTTGCTCCTGCCAAAGTTTGCATTTTAATCACTTAATTCAAATTAATTTATACTCTAAAGGTAACAGCAACAACAAAGGCAGCAACGACAACAACAACAACAGTAACAACAGCAGCAATGACGATGACGAAGATTTGGAGGAGAATGATGACTTTTCATGGACAAACAGCAAATACGTTACCAGCGACTCCTGCTACACTACCAGTCGCTCAAACAAAAACGTAAACAACAAGCCGAGCTGCTCAAGTGTAGGCATTGCAAAAGAAAATCATTATTCTAAGTCTTCTAATGGAAATACAAACTTTAATCACAAACGCGAAGAGCACTACGTGGAAAGTCAAAAAAAATCTAAGAAGAAATATGAAAATTCTTATGCTGCCAGGGACACACCAAATGTTCTGAAATCAAGTGCAGTTCAGAACTTGAAATCTCCAAAATTAGATCAAGTGGTGAAAGCAAAAACCCCAAGCAAAGAAAATCATAAAAAATCAAAAGATGAGTCTAAAGTTGGAAAAGAAGTAATCGATGATAAAGCATTACCTGATAGTACAAGACGACATAGCAAAATTGACAATTTGGACAAAAACTTATTCAACAGAAGTCCAGACACACCTTTTGTTGGGAAAAATCAGTCAGTGTCAACAATTATTTCTAAGAGCAAAAGTAATTCAACAGCAGGTAAAAATAAACAACAAATAAACAAGGAAGAAAAACTGGAAACACCATTTTATTCTAAAAACTGTTCAAGAGCTTCGAATGATTTTAGACAGAGCCGTACAGAAAATGAGAAACTATTTGGAGTTTCCGGAGAAGAAACTGGTTTTTCCGAAAGAAACCTTTGCAATTCCGGTGTAAAACAACGTAAAAAAGGTTCAGCCAAAACCTCAGACAACACCGCCGCAAACATTTATGATTTTAATTTCAAAGATTACAAAGGTGAATGTGAATTTGAAAATTTTACTGAAAATACTATAGCAGGAAATTCTGAAGGTGAAACAGAAGAAAATTTGGACGAAACGGATTTTAACTTGACACAAAATGCGAGTCCACTATCTTCATCGACAGCAACTAAGGAGAAGGGTAAAAATGCCTCTGAAAGTTCAAGTGCATCGGTCGCGTCTGCAACCACTTCCAGGACTAAAACTGCTCAGAGCGAACCTACCGAAACTACTGCCGCACCTACTGTGGTCACAAGCATTGCTGCATCAACTTCTTCTACTTTGTCGGTACGTGCAAGAAAGCCTAAAAAATCGGATAGAAAAAGCAAAAGCTCTAGGAGAATTTCAGCAAGAAAAAAAGGCGACAGATCAAAAAGACGTCCGAGTGGTTATAAAAAATATCGACCACGAGCATCAAAAAGTCGCAGGAGCAGAAAGTACCACAAATCTCCAAACGAAAGGTCGTCTCAAGAAAGCTTAGGATCGAAAAGGAGGTCCAAGCGTAGAAGAGCTGGAGAAACCTCAAGAAGGAACAGACCATTTAAAGTTAGTGAGAAACGCCTGTCAGACTTAGAAAGAAAATTTAGTGGTGATCCAAAAGACACTAAAAAGCCGTTCGCAACCAATGAAGCGAGAATGAAAGAGTTGATGGAAAAGTTTAGCGACGATGAAGGAAGACCATTCAAGATACACGAATACCGTATGGACGAATTAAAAGAAAAGTTTGACAATATAGAAGGCCAAAAAGAAAAAAAGCAAAAGGCAAGCAAGAGCAAACAACGACATAAAGCTAGCCGTAGGGGTAAGTCTGCCAAACAAAAAACCTCACCGAAAAAGCAGCAGAAAAAAGGAGAAGGTAAAGATAAAAAGAAGTGAAATGACGACGTTTTACAAAAGTTTCAGCAACCGCACTGATTCATTGACATATTGTTACCAGCGAATTAACAAACATCAATTTTTTATTCCCGTATATTCAAATTTAAAAAAATCTATTGAAGAACACCAGAAATTTTTAACTTGTTTACTTTTACACGATAAAGTAATTTCTACTTGTTTGTTTACCAAGTGAACTGCAATAAAAAATTAAAATCAAATTTTTTTACTGATTTTTCGAGAATTTCTTTCAAAAGTTTGACTGATTTGCTCCAATAGAGCTCAGATCTTTTGGAAGTCAAGAGTTTGAAAGATTAAACATTCTCATCTTGTAAGAAGCTTGATGATTAATGAGATTTCAATTATTTTACCTTTATAAAAATTATAAAATAAAATATTAAATTTATTATTTTATTAAAATTAATTCGTTAATTCGAAATTAAATTTTGAACTTTTGAAAGCCTAAATTTGAGTCTATTTTTATTTATTTATAAAAAAAGTAATTCACTTGATTTTTAATTTTTTTTTATAAACAATGGAAAATCACAATCAAAAATATTATGCAAGCAAACAAACAATGAATGGACAATGCAATAGGCTTAAAAAAATTTACTATTTTATTTTTAATTAAATAAATTCAGTTAATTATTTAAAATTTGAATATTAAAAATTAAAATAACCTTTAAAAATTTAAGAAACTCCATAATAGTAATACAAAGCTTGATTCGTTTGATGTTTTATTATTTTTCAATAATGACATATAATATGATTATAATATGTTTGTAGACTTGTAGTTTAATGATGTGTTGTATAAAGTTGCTTATACTATAAACATATAAACTATAATGACTATAATAAATTATCTCTATCTTATTTATATATCTAAATTTTCTAAGTTTAATTTTCAAATAAATATGATTTTATCAGTCAATATTAAACAATTTATTGTCCTTAATTCATTATTTTAATAATTAATTAAATGAATTCTCATTTTATCAGTGAATTTATTAGTGAAATGAATGGTTTCAGTATTGATTTTATCATATATTATATTAGTCATATAATTTAATAAAAAAAAAGCTAAACAATTATTCAATTTCATACTTGACACCTAGATTGAAAGACACGAATCTGCATAGCATTATTGATTATTAATTAAGCTTGTATAATATACATTGTATATGTAACATTTGCCACCTAGTCAAACATTTTTAATAACTTGAAAATTATGAAATTTAACTCAAGGTTTTTTGATTATATTGCGATATTTCCCTTATAATTTTGTACATTTTTCATTTCCATATTAAAAATTTTCAATTGCAGATGTTGACTTAACGTTGATTGCAAGCTAACATGAAGTCATTATTGTTGAAGCATGCCGGCTATTTACCATTTCTCTCCCTTAAATATTCAAAATACCTGCTGAATAATTTGTATCGTAATTTCTCCACAACGAGCTTCTTCTTCAAACAGGAAGAGCTTTTTCCGCAAAGATTAGTTTTGCCGGAGTCACATGGCTACACACCTGTATTATCACCTGCTCAGGTAACTTCGATGCTAACCAGCAACCAAGCTACACATCACTATCCGGTGGGTGGACCAGTCACTCGTTTTGACAGCAGTCAGCTTTCTTCAAACAATCCCATTGAAGACAGAAGAGCTGTTGGCAAGCTAGTTCAGACAGGAGGTTTACTTTTCGGAGTGTTCGATGGCCACGGAGGAGCTGCCTGTGCTCAAGCTGTCAGTGAAAGATTATTTGATTACATTGCCTTGTGTTTGCTGAGCCCCAAACAGTTGGAGCATTACAGTAGACTGATGAGAACTTCAGAGCCCCTGTCTCTTCTTGATCTGTATCGCTTTCAAAATGATTATTTTAACGAGGATCTTGTGGAATTTTATTCTCAAAGTTTGCAGAAGTTTGTGGTGGAACATTTAAGCACTACTGGTCTTGAAGATGAAAATGATGAAATTGCTAACAGCATTATAGGCTACTTGAAGACTGCATTCAGACGTTTAGATGATGACATTTCATATGAAGCTATGCCTGTTGGTGGGAAAATAAATGAAGATCTTATGTCGATCGCCATGTCTGGTTCCTGCTGTTGCACGGTGCATATATTGGGGAAAACACTGCACACAGCAAACATAGGTGATTGCAGAGCAGTTGTCGGTAGCCTGGGGCAAGATGGTCATTGGGTTCCAAAAGTTTTGACTGTTGATCACAATGTTCATAACGAAAAAGAGGCTAAGAGAATTCACGATTCGCATCCTAAATCAGAGTGGATTTCACTCATTAGAAATGGTCGACTTCTGTCGCAATTAATACCTGTCCGAGCTTTTGGTGACGTACGATTTAAATGGCCTGTGAAAGACTTGAAAAATTTAGTTTCATTGCTGGGCAACAGTCCTTACGCTCAGAGTATAATACCGGCACACTACTATTCACCTCCCTACTTGATAGCTCGTCCGGAAGTGAAATCGCACGAATTGACGGATTCTGATCACTTCGTCATTGTAGCATCAGATGGACTTTGGGAGATGTTGTCAAACGAAAAAGCCGTCGAAATAGTCGGCGACCACATCACCGGCAAACAAGCCACCGATAAATCTGTCGATAGAGAACGATTCACGCTCGGTGAAATTAATCAAATATTACGCGAGAGGCGACGTGGCGAGGCTCACCGCACAACAGACAGCAACGGGGCCGTCCACCTTTTGAGGCATGCACTCGGATACGAACATCGAAAAGTTTCAGAAATGCTCACTTTTCCGCCTCAAATTTCACGATCCTATCGAGACGATATCACAATTATTATTGTTTATTTCGACACGAAATTTCTTGCAAAACAATAAAACTTCGAATTATTTTTTATAAAGATCAAATTCCTTACGTAGGGATGGTTTTATTGTTAATCTCATTTCAGTTGTACGCGTGCTCATATATTTATTTTAAAATAATATTCATTTGCTGCAACACAAAGCTTTCGATCGGTTGGACTCATGGGATATACATGGTTGGACCACATGATAAACAGTGGAACCGACCAATCGTTGAATTTTGTTTAGATTTCAAATTTGTTATGGTAATTAATTTTATCATTATTTAATTTATTATCGTTAATTATTTAAAATCTGTTGAAGCTGTCTGTTTTTATTTGCTGGTAGTAAAGTTGCCTATGTATTCTTAGAATTTTCTATCTAGGTTATTAAACTCAAATTTGGATGGATGTTGGGATTTTTTAATAAATCAGAAGTTTTATTCGTTTCCACTTAGATCTATCATATGCTCTCTGTTTAAATGGGCGCAGAGTCAAATGGAGAAATACCTCGGGGACAAAATTTAACAAAGCCATATAATTTTTTTGAATTATTTTTACAATGACGTCAGCCTACAGAATCACTATTTGAAGATCAACAAACATTATGTTCCGCTTTTCATCATTTAAATTAAAAGATCAATTTAATTAACATTCAGTTTTTATTGGTATAACATGCCATTGCTAAATATTTTTTTTAATTAATAAGAATCTAAATCTATTTGGAACTAATCAGATAAATTATAAATAGTATTAGTAAATAAATAGGTAAAAAATTTTCAAAAAAGAAATGTTCGCAACCTCTGGGGATTTCGATCAAAGTGAGTTGTATAGTTTTAGAAAATTATTCAATAATTTACGTTTCGTTTGTATAACAAAAAGCTTTGGCTGAAATCTTTGGTTACATCAATGCCAACTTGATCATACTGCTGGTTGGATCTGTCCTTTATGAAATTTGGAAAAATATTAACTATGGCAACGTCGACAACGGTACTCATTCATTCGTTTACCTGAGTATAATTTTATATGTTCATGTTTAAATTTTTTACAATTCTCATCAATATTTCTCGGAGGTATCAGCAACTCGAACACAGTGTATTTAAAAGATGCGTGAATCGATGCATCACAAACATTGCATGTAATAGACGGGGATTTCATTGTATTCGAATCCAGTCACTGCAGCGACAATACCAGGTATTTTAACCACTACACCATTCAGAATGTAAGTAGGTATGTATATATGCGAGTGTGTGTATCTATGTTTGTATGTATAATATTTTAAAGATCATTCTGTGAAGTATGAAGAGAACGAAAGTTTAAAAAGCTGCTACTCATTGGAGGAGCAAGGTACATCGCATGTCAGCAGTGAAAGTTGTGGTTTGTTAGAACCTCAAGAATACTTACAGGCAGACACGTTACTCGCGGATTCATTCGTCGATACCGTAAACAAATCACAAATGAACTGCTTTGTCGAAAATCACATTCCATCGATAACTAAGTCAAGAGCCATAATAAGTTTACCAAATTCTCAATTAGATATAAAAAATATTTTAGACAAAAATGAAAACGAGTCTATCGGTTTTAGAAGTAAGAATGATGATCAAAATAATGAGAAATGGAATGTGGCATTAGAAAACAGCTACATTTCAATTAAAATGAAACCGAAACGCCGAGAAGCAAGTGCCAATTATGAAAAAGAAAACAAAATATCAAGTTTAGATTTAGCCAAACATTCAACAAAACGTTTCAAATCTTATTTAATGAAAGGGTATTTAAAAACATTAGAACTTAACGCCAATAGGAATAATTTCAACGATGATAACATTTCCAATCTACTCATTGATATGAATAAAGTATCTGATGAACGTTTTGGTCAGAATTCTCTTAATAGTGAAAATGTGCAAGTTTATCAAAACAGTATTCTTTCTAAATCAGTCCAGGAATCCAGAATTGAACACGTATGTTCCAACAATCCTCATGACGTGTTCGTATCAAACATAACAAGTAATGAAGAGAATAATTTTTGTGAAAATGAGAACATAGAACCGCATCAGCAAAATGTACCTGTCACATTTTCTGAAAGTGGGTCCGTCCCGCTTGGCTCCGGTGAAAGAGATAATGGCCAAAAAGAAAATCTCAACATCCATTTGAAAGAAAATAGGACAGAATTTGGCAGTGGAAATTTTCCACCTACCTTCAAACAACTTTCACGTTTAATAACGGTAGGAGCAAAACGTGAGAGTTTAATTAATGAGGACGAATATTTGACAATTAAACGTTTTGCTAACCTGAATAGTTTTCATAAATTTATTCAAAAATATGAGCCTAATTGTGAACAGCAGACAGATGCATATTGTGCTTTTTTAAACATGCCTCAGGTTGCCAACAGTTGTAAATCTTTAAAGATTGGCAAATCCTTTTCAGACTTATACTCCACTAATTACACTAGTTCGATGTCTCTTTCTGAGAACACTTTGAAAAATTGCAACTTTTATTGCAAGCCTGAATTTTGTACAACTCCCGTAATTAACAATGTCGGATCAGATCTTTACATCAGGTCACTAAATAATAGTTACAAATCTTCAAATCCTACCGTGCAGTTATGTTCAAAAACTTTTTCATCACCAGTACTACCTTTGTTGCCTTTTGAAGGAAATGCCAAAATTTCTAACAAATTTAATTTTCAAAACATTTTAAACAAAAAATCAAATTCGAAATTTTTGCCAAAAATAAGCAAACCTCTACCTAACTATTTTAGTAAAATAAATCCGGATAAACATTTGATTTCAGAGAAATCAACTTTCGACAAGTTACATAATTCTTTTCCAATGCAAAAAAGCTTAAAAACAAATTTTCTATCGGACTTTAAAGAATCTTTGGACAACGATTTTAACGTGTTAAATAAATGTAATTTTGCTTGTTTGAACCAATTTAAATCATGCATTGAAAAACTTTCGAATAATTCGGAGGCCGAAACCACCGTTAAACCCGTGGAGGAATACACCCGAGTAAATGTTCCGGTTTTCAAAGAGTTAGCTGATGGAAACGTGAATAAAATAAAAAAGATTTTCTACGCCAGTGGTTGGGCCAATCAAACTGATCTGTCGATGTTTAACGTTGCGGATGATAGCACTGGAGATCAGTACGACGGCCTTGCAAACATGGCAGGCATGTGCCAAGCAAATTCAAACATTGAACCTGCGTATGCATACAGAGACGACAAAATTTTTGCATCAAAATCTGGCACCATTATTCATAAAAAAATAGCTGATGATAACTCAAACGATAATTTTGGAAGTTTTTTGATAATTAATGAGATTTCGAATTTATCAAATAAGTTAGATAAGTTCACAACTGACGATGGCGCAAACGCAAAACATGTCTCTCTGAACAATAACGCACCACCTTTCTTCTGCAAGAGGAAGAAAAAAGATAGAAATGACAAAAACACAATAATAAATTATAATGATAACAGAATGATACAAACGGACTTATTGGAAGAACAACTGGACGTTAACCATCAATTCATTCCCGTCGAAAACACTGCAATAGATCCCTGGTTATTTGACGCACATAACCATAACGACGACGATGATAGTTTTATTTCTAGTATAAGAAAAATGCTTTCAGACAAACATAAGAAACAAAAATCTGTAACTTTTACAAAAAAACTCAAAACACACAAAAGTAACAAAAATGTACATTTTAAATCAACGTCTAGCATTGGCAGTTCCATCAGCAAAACTTCAAATTCGAACGATGACTTCTCTTCATCAAGAAAAAGATCCGACGTAACTAAAAGCAGTTCATCTGATGGACAAAAACTATGCGTCAAAAAAATGGCAACTTTTTGTCAGCATGAAAACGTTGAAAATTTGACTCGTTCAAAAAACAAGAAAATCGGATTGAACAAACTTAAATTTTTATTCAAATGGAAAAATAAGTTGGCACCCAAAATTAAAAATTCGAAAAAACATTACTCAAATATTGAGTTGAATTCATGCAATTGTCACCAACTTGAGTATAACAATAATTTTTGTGAATCAAATATTTGTAATTCGAATTCATTGTTCGATAAAAATTGCTCAAATAAAACTGAAATGCGCCTGTTGATTTCTGGTGGAAATAAAAGAAGTTTGACCAGGTCTAATAACAACGGGAACGATAATAATGGCTATCTGCAAAAACTTTCTACCAAAACTTCTTATAAGAAAAAAGTTTCTAAATTACAATCAATCACAAAAGGATCTAAATCTGTGGAGAAGACGGTTGTTGAAACGAGTGATATCTCCTCGGTTGAGAAAGTGGACACCAAATCACTCCTTTCTTTCCAAACGACAACTTCTGCATGGACTGCTGAAAGTTCGTCCGCAGTTATTAGTACACGTTCAAGTGACAAAGAAAAAATAGGTAACAAAGGCAGTTCAAGTGACAAAGAAAAAATAGGTAACAAAGGCAAGCATCACAGTAGAATTGACAATAAAAAATTTAACCAGCAAGTAAGTAAAAACGCCTCAAAACGCAAACCAATAACGGCCGATCAGCATGATGGCGTTAGTGATGTCTTGTCGTTTGAAACTTATTCAAAACTAAGTTCATATGAATCATTGGTTTCTTATGAATCAAATAAATTGATAGATTTTAGTTTCACAAATAAAACATCTGTCTCATCAGACTTGACTTTTAAGGATGGAGACTCATCGAAATTTGGCAGCGTAACTCCAAACGGTAACGCGTTTACACATTCTCAAAGCCTTATAAATTCAGATTGCTATAGAAACAAAATTGAAACAGACGAAAAGAAAAAAGCAGCTCAAACTTCGTCACACTATTTCACAGTTATGAAAAATAATAAAAGGAAATCATCAATAAAGCTTGTTAGCATCAACATACCTAATTCAGTAGAAGACAGCAAAAATCTTCCAGCTATGATTGGCAATTATAATACAAAATCGTTTAATAAACGGAATGCTGATAAAGAAATTACTCTGAACAGTATTTCTTCCATAACGTCAACGCGAAAGGACTTGAAAATGAGTCAACCGGTTCGTGATGTCGTCATAAAAACTAAGCACTCTTCAGTTATTCAATTAGATTCGCAACGTGATGGAAAAAGTGTTGACGTTTGTAAAGTCTGCGATTTAAAATCTGCCATGAAGCGCATAACGAATGCTAATGTACTTTCCACCGAAACTTCCAAACGTTCAATAAATAAACTGTTCGCAAAATCTGACGCTAACTCATACGTTCAATTAAATTCCTATGAAGACTCCGCTAAGAAAAGTAACAAAAGAAATGATAAGTTTGAAAACGAGCACGCTAATATGAAATATGTGAACAAATCAACTAGCCAGACTAGAAATCTTAAAACTTCATCAAGTGGATATTCTGTCAGAATAAAATATCAACAGCACTTACAACAGGAACCCAAAAGTGAAACCTCAACAGATTTACAAAATATTGCAGGTAATGTTACAGTAATGGGTCCAGACAATAATCTGCAGAGTGAATTGAAATCTGGATGTCAAGTGGAGATAGATTCGTCGATAGAAAAAGTTTCCGAAGAAACAACGGAGGAAGAAGAATTTGTTAAAACGACTTCTTTTTTATCCAACACAAATTTGGGTAGGAAACTTTCGAGTCTTGATGAAAAAAACATTGCCAACGAGGGTGGAGCAATTAAATCGAGCTGTTCGTTTGTTTGCTCAAATGAAGTTGCAATACATAATGATAGCGGACGAACTAGCAAAACCGTATTAAAAAAAGATAAAATTTTGGAAACAATGACTTCAAATATGACAAATAGTCTAAAAAATGATAGTGAGTCTGTTGATAATGTTCTTTCTAAAGTAACACCTGTCGTAACTGGTAGAAGTGAAAATGATAAAACTACAAATTGTAACATCATTCCTGATGAGCAGCTGTTTCAACGTTCTGTTTCCGTATGTGAATCAAAATGCAACAGAGATGCCAATGCAGCTGGTGAAAAATGTGAAAAACCTTGCCCGAAGAATGGAAATTTCTGCTATTTAAACGAACAAGGACAATTGAAAATTTTAAATGAAATTTCGTTAAATAATTCGTGCGAAAATGATTCAACATTTACAAATTTTTCTTATTTTGTTTCAAACACAAATGACTCAACATCTAAGACATCTTTGGTTGGTTTTGCGAACAAAGTTAATATCGATGACTCTGTGGATCGGAAAACGGATAGCATTAATTCTAACAAACGCAGCTATGTAGATGATAATAAAGCCCAACAGACTCCACTGACATTAAACATTTTTTTATCTGAGGAAAAAAAATCGCCGGTTGAAAATATTTCTTCGGTTTTGAAACAGTCTAAATCGAATGAACAAATTATGAACCCATCATTAGGCGGTGTTTCCGACTGTGCGGCCATCAACGATTTTGTTCAGCCAATAACGGATACATTCTCAAATGTACAAATTCACGCAGAAAAACTTTCTATGAACACAACTAAACAAACTACTGTAAACTCGTTATGTAAAAATGATAGCAATTTTGAGAATTTTACAGCACCAGCTGTTAATCGTTTTACTTTGTTAAAATCTCAATCACAGCTAGCTTTTAGCAATTCGATTAAACCTGATAGTTTGAATAAATCAAAAAATGATAGCGAGTTTTTGATTGAATTAGTTGAAGCTGATTTAGCTGCAAATTCAAGTTTCAGTGACTCACGTAGTAAGGTATGTAATAACGACGTTAACGTAAAATATGAGTCAACATTTAATCTTGTAACATCTTCTGAAGGCGGTACGCTATCTGACGGTTTGACTAAAACTAGCTTCGAATCAGGACTTAATCTAGCAGAATCTGTGACATCTTTTAAAAGATTTGTTATGTCTGCAATAAAGAAATCAATAAATGATTCATTAATCACGACGTATCGAAATGATAATTTGAAGCTGTTATCAAAATTATTATCAACAAATGCCAGAAACATGTCAAGTTCATCTTATGATAGTCATACATCAGAAGTTTTTAGTTCACATAATAATTTAAAATCATATTTAGCTGTAGAAAATAATGCGTTAGGCAACAGATCTCTTTCGGCTACAATTAACCAGAATAATTCAAAAGAATCATTAATTAATATGGTGAATTTGTTAAAGTCAAAGTTAAAAATTGAAAAAAGCCAAGTGGAATGTTTCAATACTAGAAAATTAAATACTTATTCGAGAAAGTCATTAAAATCTAAACAAACTGAAATGTCTGAAAATTATTCGAAAAAGGTTGAAAAATTGGACAGTAAAACTGGGGAAAAAGGAAAACAAAGTAAAGATCAAAAGATAAACGAGTGTACAACGAGTTACCAGGCATGTATTAAAAAGAAGCCTCATAAAAAGTATAGTTCACACTGCAAACCGGATTGGATGAGCAATATTTTTCAATGTAATCGATATAGAAGAACTACTAAGTCGGTACAAATTGCTTCAAAACGAAACAAACCATTTATCAGATATAATCGTAGTCTAACAAAACGATCAGAAAGAGCAAATAGTGTTTGCTTCATGAAACCAAGCATGTCTATCAAAAAAGTTCCGCTGTCCAGCAGAAAGTGTAGCCAATTGAGAAATTTGGAAAAATGTTTATACGAGGCATTGAAAACAAATAGAACTTTTAGCAACCGAGATGATCTCACTAACCAAACCATCACAAGTCGATGTTCCGAAATTAAGTCGCAACTTTTTCTTAACGATGTATCGACTCTTTTTCTTAAAGAAACAAACTCGCAAAATAAATTTTCATCGAAAATCGAATTGTTCAGTTTTAATCCATCAAAAAGCAAAACTGAACTACAAAAGTTATCCTCCAATGAAGTGTCAAACTCGGTCAATAAAAAGGTTTTAAAAAAATCTGCTATGTTTACTGCCACTTTTCAAAATGAATCCACGAAACAGACAGAGGATTTGCAAAACAAAAATTTGTCCTTAGCAACTTTTGACTCATCTCAGAAAATTGAAAAATATGCTCAAATATGTGAACCTAAAAAATTTAATTCTAAACGTCAGTTAATGCGTGAAATTGAAAGAAAAATTGAAAATTATAAAAAAGTTTTGAGCTCAATAAAAAAAGATGCTATGTCGGTGAGGCATGTAAATTGTATCGTCAACGAATTAGGACCCTCTTTGTCAAAACAACTCTTACCAGTCCCTTGTCTTGTCATGAAGCCTAGAAAGAAAACTTATGATAAATTGGATAAATCAAGTAATCAGAAGAGTATATTGAAAACAAAAAGTTATCAAAATATTTATAGAAAAACTTTCAAGTCGCAATCCGAAACTAAACTGATTTGCAGTGTATTGCCGCGCAAAAAGATTGTAGACAAATTATGCGTCAAGCAAACAGTTAGTGCACACCGTAGAGAAGAACCTTCTGAAAAATTGTACAAAAGTTATCACCTGAGTTCCGAAAGGGAAATAGAAAACAAACATGCAAGAGCAAATTCTCTTAAATTTAAAAAATATGTACCCCGACAATGCACAAAATTTGGCAGAAATATGGGTCCACTAATGATAACAAAAGTTCCATTTTGTTCAGGCACCTTTAAACTTTTAACCAATGGTGAGGAGAGGTTGAATATTTCTAAAGACTCGGAATTTTTCAATAAAAACGATCAATTAGGCCAGAAATGTTTTTTTGACAAAAATAAATTTATATTAAAAAACAAATCAAATCATTCAAAAAAGACGATTAATAATAATACTTCGAAGATTCAGGCCGATAAATATCTGCACTCAACTGCAAAAGGTCAAGCCAAAAAGCGTTCTTCGAATGGAAAATGTTTTGATGTTGACAACAGTCGAAACCAACCCATCGATATTGTTAAAGATTCTATGGAATTTATGGAATTAAACTTGGCTAATATTTATAAGAGCATCATTTCGAGAGCTGATTGCGGTAGAAATAAAAAAATAAATAATTCAGCTTTATTAGATATTTCTGATGATGTTAGTAAGATGGTCGAACTAGGAGATAGAACCCCATCGTTAAGATCACTAGCTCCTTCGCTACGTGATGTCAGACAGTTGGTTGAACTAAAAGATAGAACCCTCCCACCGTCGTCTTCTTTGCTACGTATAACTAATCCAAATGAGATAAAACGCGAGAAAATTCTGCAACAGTCAAAATTAGACGTAGACGAAAAACTATGTGAACAAAATTTGCAAGATGGGGCGGTATTTCCGTCAAAAACTAGTTCAACAAAAGTTAAAAATAAACGTAGGAGTGGAAGGAAAAAAAATGTTTTGAAAGAAAATCATGAAGAAAATTTTTATAACGAAAATGCTAAACAAACATTAATTGAATTTGACCAGTATATACCTTCTACAGAACTAGAACATTTACAAAAAAGAAAACACAAAAAATGTAAAAAATCTCATAAAACTGAATCTAAAAAATCATTGACTTGCCAGAAACCTTTAATAGAAACAAATAATTCTACATCAGAACAAGTTGAATGTTTAAAAAAAACTAAGAAGAAAGAAGCAAAACGCCAAAAACAGAAGAGAATTAAAACTCCTCCTCCGGTTGAAGATTCTGTTGTAAAACTTTTTGAACGCCCCAAGGAATTTGTTACAGAACTTTTCAATTGTGTTAGCAATTCCCTGACAGAAATATCTAATCAGTTAAGTAATGGTAATGAAATTAAAACTCTGCTGGATGAACCAATAATGGAAGGCCAAAAATTCAGTTTTTGTGAAACGTCCACAGAAAATGAGATACCCGAATCGAGCAATTTGGCGGTTGTCAGAAAAATATCTGCCAGTAAACCATGTAATGACGTTAATGCAAAAAAAACTTTGAAAACTTCGACCGAGTCAGAAAAATTTTCGGAGGAGGTGCAGTTAGAAACAAATAAAGGGACAAATCAAAATTCAATAGGTAATGCTATGTTTAACAATGATAACATTCTGTCGCATAACGTAGCTTATAATCCTTCTAAATATTATGAAGATGAAAAAGATAAGGCACAGCATATGAATGGAAATAATTTCATCAATGAACTTTCTTTTCAAAAATCTGCCAAAGCGAACATCATAAAAAGACTTTACGGTCAACAAATCAGAGAGCAGTTATCGCGTAACAGAGGCGGTCGGTTGAATCTTCAATCACGTGAACATAAACTTGCTAACATCTTATCCAAGGTTAACTCGAAAAATAACTCCAATCAAAATGTTCCTACACAAAGCTCTTGGGATACTGGGAAAAAAAAGTTCATGGAAACAATCAGTTCAAACCAAAGCCTGAAAAAACGTTAAATCCCAAAACCTTATAAAAATATTTTTATTTTTTAACAACCTCAATAAGCTGAATTTTTGAAAATTTATTAAAGTATTTTGTTGATTAATAAATTTTGCCTTGTAACGTATTTCATTTTAATTTATAAGCTAATTGATTGATTGATTGACTGATTGACCGATTGATTGACTGATTGACCGATTGATTGATTGATTGATTGATTGATTGATTGATTGATTGATTGATTGATTGATTGATTGTTAAGCAGAGCTGGCGGGTTTGATAGAATGAACGCGTATGACTATGGAGAATCGAATTTTTTAATGAAATCATCTTATCGATTACTTCTCATTGCGTACATTGCAAGAAGCAAGGGCTGAGTTGACTCCAGGAAATAAATTATAAATTGAGTGATTTTAAATAATATAACATAAACAAATCGTTTCTGAACATTTTCTTTACACAATCAATGTCAGCTCATAATATCAGCGACTCAAGAATGATAATGACATAGTGTTATTATATAAATAAATTAATAAAAAATATATATATATATATATGTATAAATATATATATAATTGGATAATCAAGTGGAAACTACTATAATTGTAAATAACAATAATAATAACTATGAGCTAAACAATTGAAAATATACTTCTGTAAAATATTTTTATCCTCCCATACGTGCAATTACAAACCTCAATTGGTTGTTACGAGTCTATCCTCAAAGTCAAACTATTGTACTGAAATGAAGATCAAGAAATTTTTACCTAACTTCTAAAATATTTGTACATGTTTAATAAATTCATTCGTAATTTGATAATTTATTTTTTCCTGAAAATACATATCCACCTAACATCGTTTTTCAACTCCTAAACTGAACCGGAGCTTCAACATGTTCAGCACTCACAGAAATGGAACACCAAAATCTCCTAATTTTATTAAAAATTCAGACGTGTTTTCGAGTGAGGACCCGGACAAGATTTTTACGGATCTTTTAGAAATTGGCCACGGTAGCTTTGGTGCTGTCTACTATGTCAGTTTTCTTTGTTTAATGATTTTGATTAGATTCTAATTTTCTAATTATAAGATTAAAAATGTTCAGTGAAAATTTTAAAGGAAAATATTTTAACAAATCTAAAATAAATTCATTCAATTATCAAAAAAAATGTTTTAATTAAAATTCATTTTAATCCTTAATTAAAACAGGCAAAACATGCCATAAAAAATGAAGTTGTTGCTATTAAAAAGATGTGCTTTCAGGGAAACAAGTCTGGGGAGGTAGTTTTTACTTGCATAGAATCATAGAATAAAACTTAATAAAAATAATAAAAGTAATAAATGTTACATACAAACATACATTATATATATTTGATTTTAAGAATTTAAAGAATTTGATCTTTTACCAGCATATGTATATATATATATGTATACATATATATATATATATATATATATATATATATATATATATATATATATATATATATGTATATATATATATATATATATATATATACGAACTACAAACATTTGGTAGAATTTATAGAATATTGTAAAATTATGGTATTACCAACATATATATATATATATATATATATATATATATACATATATTAATCAATCTTATCAAATCTTGTTTATAGTCTCCATTCGTTATGGGTCAGACTTTTTTATTCCATCAATTCATCCATCCATTCATCAGTTTCTGTCTCCAAGCCGATCTATATATATATATATAAATTATATTATTTAGTTTTCTAATGGTATATATGCATAGTTTGGCTATCCTGTTTGCTAATAGTATATACATACACTATACAGTCATGACTTCATGGCAATGAAATAAGGATTAGAAGAATTATAAGATGAAATGTATAAAAAAACAGACACAGATGAATAATTCATTATATAATTATGATATATATATATTTATATATATATATAATATATATATATATATAATATATATAATATATATATATATATAATTTTAGCTATTTGATTATTTATATATTGTTTATATATTGTAAATTTACAACTTGGGTGTAAGGTAAATATTAACATTATCCATGCTACCAGACTAAATAAGCAAACAAGCCATTCAAACACATACACACACTCACTCTCACACATCTCGCACACACACACACACACACACACACACACACTCATACACACACCCACACAGATTTCTAATTTTATTTATAACTGTGTTTTACAGTCTATTAGATATAGATAGATGGCACAATATTGTATATAACAGATTGAAGGTAATTGTTAGGGTTAATTTTGCTGCTCTAATTGTTGCCATATATATGAGTAGATTGTTATTTAAAGGGAAACATTTTAAATTGATTTTTCAAACTTTCAAGAAATGGCAAGATATTATAAAAGAGGTACAGTTTCTACAGTCACTGAAGCACGAAAACTGTGTTGCCTACAAGGGCTGCTACATTAAGGATAACACTGTTTGGGTCGGTTTTTGGCTGCTCTATTACATTTTTTTATAAGTTTTTTTTTAGTATTCTCAAGGGTTACAACACCAAACACACAGTGTATGTTAATGCTTATGAATGACACACATTGTATGTTTTAGGTCGCAGAAGTAAATTCACTTGAATGCATGAATATCATCATGAGTTGATTTTATCTACATCTCTTCATTTCAATTTTTATTTAGGCTTTCTAAGATTCGTTCGTTCGTTTGTTTTATTTTATTTTTGGTTTATTTTTTTTGATAAATTGTTAAATTGCATTATAATGGAAGATTTTTTTAATGGATGGATATTACACTTGTAGTTGTCCATGGAGTATTGCTTGGGGTCTGCTTCAAATCTCATTGAAGGTTATCTTCTTTATCATAATCTGTTCATATTATTTATATCTATAATATTTTTGTTGGGATGTGGTTTATAACATTTTCAAAAAACAGATTTTATTTTCTGGAGATAATGTTTGAGTAGTTAGATGAAGAAATGTTGGAGAGAGAGAGAGAGAGAGAGAGAGAGAGAGAGAGAGAGAGAGAGAGAGAGAGAGAGAGAGAGAGGGAGAGATAGGGAGATGATAGATGTAGGAGAATGTTGAATAGATTAGATAGTTATTCTCATTATTAGTTGCTACAAAATTGGGACCAATGGAGTTAATCTACAAAGTATAGTCTGATATTTGACTTGCAATCTGTTACTGTCTATCTCTTTCACTTTCTCTCTCTTTCTCTTTTTCTTTTTCTCTTTTATTATATTATACTATTATAATTATATAGACTGTATACTGAATTAAATGAAATTTAGTTAGGAAGAAGATTAAGAATTGTTGCATTAGTTGCTATCCTTGATAATGAAAATGTTTGATTTATTTGAATTGGAAAAATTGATATGCAGTATTATTTTGGAAAATTAGTCTTCTTAAAGAAAGTGCTAGGTGCTGATTGTTCAAATGAATGAATGAATGAGTGAGTGAATGAATGCTAAAAATAAAAAAAATTAGAAGATCACCACACCAAACTTCAGTCAGGTTTAAACATTGCTTTCATTCCTGTTGTTGACGGTATCTTAGTGAGACTGCACTTGCTGACATCCACAATCATCACACACAAACGCCATCATTACTATTATACAAACGATTTTATTTCAATGATGATGTTGCACTACATTAAAATTAAACATTTTTCGTCCCTTTTCTAGTTTAATTTCAACTATATTTTACTTTTTTTGTATTCTTTGTACTGCTGCTCTGTCAAACACAGAGCTCCTCACATGTCATTCGATACTTGAAAACTAAACTTTTGTACCACAAAGGCTGTACTATCCACTAGAGCTCCAGGCGGATAACCGCAATGTGGTTTCAAACCACGGTTACCGCATCGCAACTGTGGTTGCCGATAAAAAATTTTCAAAACTATGCGGATTTTGTCTGTTTATATTTTCAAAAATTTTCAGATTACAAAATTTTGTTTTTTCGTTTGTTTGCATATATGTACGTGTGTGAGTATGTATGTGTATTCAAGGACCATATCCGAGTCTCTCAAGCAGCTTCTAATTACTTTAGTGGATATGAATAAAGAATGTTTGTTCAATGTTACACACACACACACAAACACACAACACACACACAACACACACACACATGCATATGTAAATGTGTGTACATATGTGTGTTATACAAAACGTACGTGTGAAGTGTATCTATCTTTGATACTTAACACAAGTGTTATCACCACCATATATACACATATACGGTACACACATACGTATATACAAATTAACATACATATATATATGTACTGTACATACATATATATATATATATATTTTGGTTTGATCCACATATAACATAACATCTTCATTAATACTAAATAAATAAATAGCTTCTTGTTTCAGTTCCTCATCGTCGTTCATTTCGTGCTCGTTGTTATGTTATTTCAATTATTAAATGAAAAATTTATTAAATTCTTCTATAATTCTTCTGATTGTAATTATAATGTAAATAAATTGCTCTCTAGTGTTGCTATCTTCTAGTTTTAAACATGAGATTAAGACGGCCGATTTAGGTTGCCTCTTCGCGGATGTGGTGCAGATGATGTGGATGATGAGCAGTGCGGATGCGAGCGGTTGCGGTTTGGAAAAATAGTCTCTGCTTGGGGGCTCTACCATCCACACCACACGACGCACATACACATTATGCATGCACGCGCAAACACTGCATCATACATATGTGTACAATGATGTTTGAGTTGCGGACAGACAGTATTTGAATCATGCCGTTGCAAAATAGCAGCATGTGACATGGCACTAACACCCACTTAGCTAACTCAGTGACCATTGGTAAATTATTATTTATTAAATTTTTATTTCGAATTTTTTTTATGACTTCTAAAAAGTGCATAAGAAGAGTTTATGTGAGGTGGAGGTAGCTTCGATCTGTGATGGAGCACTGAAGGGCCTGTGCTACCTGCATGGACGGGGGTGCATACATAGGGATGTCAAGGCGGGAAACATACTTCTCACTGACAATGGAACTATCAAATTGGGTTTGTTTTTTTGATCTGTTCACATCCATACTTTTGTTTTTTTTGTGGCTAAAATTATAAAGTTTAATCAGAGCATTGATTTATATTCCATTTATTGGTTAACATGCGTTTGAAATTTAAATATTTTATTAAAAATATGTTAATTGATGTTACAAATGATTAAGTTGAAAATTTTTCACCAGCCGACTTTGGATCGGCTTCAATAGTTTCCCCAGCTAACTCTTTCGTTGGTACTCCATACTGGATGGCTCCGGAAGTTATCCTTGCCATGGATGATGGTCAGTATGATGGAAAGGTGGACGTCTGGTCTCTGGGCATCACGTGCATTGAACTGGGTTTGTGCTTTCTTCGTTTAATCTTTGATATTTGTGCCTAACATTGTTTGATATTTATTTGTGGAAATTTATTCTTAGATCAACATTTTATTAGAAATCAGCTCAGAAATATTAAATATTATTTGATTTTTTAGAGACTCGCATTATAATATTAGAAATTGGATTGTTTTTTCCTGAAATCATTTATGAGAGAATACTGCTCTGTAATGCATTGCTACAACATGAGAACAACTGCACTGCGTACCTTCAAAACCACAAGGACATCGGACCTTTTATATGCACATCTAGTATTTATAAACGCACACGCGCACACAATCACATACACGCACACACACACACGCACGCACACACACATACACACGCACATGTACACTCTTCTCAACTCCTCACCTATTTCACCACCACCAACAAACTGTCAGCTGAAGAGAAGCCACCTCTCTTCAATATGAATGCCATGAGCGCCCTCTACCACATCGCTCAGAACGACCCTCCAGTTCTCAGGTCCACCGCCAATCGACAGTTCAGTGAAGAATTCCAAGCTTTCGTTGATGTCTGTCTAGTTAAAAACCCTGAGAAACGGCCGAACGCCAGCCAGTGTCTTGAGGTTTGTGCTTGCCGCTGATTGGCTGCACTCTTTCATGCTCTTTGGTTCTGTTTTATTTTGATCTTTCGTTATTATTATTATTATTGTTATAATTTTGTTGTTATTATGGACAAATTGTTTGGTTGACAGCTGCCATTCATGAAGATGCCTCGGCCACCTGATATTCTATCCATTCTTGTTGACAGAACAAAAGAAGCTGTTCGTAAGCTCGATACCATGCAAGGTGATTGATTGGTCGATTGATTTGTCGATTGGTTTTTTGATTGATTTGTTGATTGATTTGTTGATTGATTGGTCGATTGATTGGTCGATTGATTTGTCGATTGATTTGTTGATTGATTTGTTGATTTATTTGTTGATTGATTTGTTGATTGATCGTTTTTTATAGATTTTTTTGGCTCATCTGAGGATTAGATGGTTCATTTTTTTTATTGTTTTTAATGTTTGGTTGGCAATTGAAAGAAGGAAGTGTGCTTTTAAAATGCTGTAATGAATTGGCATTGTGGGATATATACATGTAGTTAGATTTATCGTTTAGATTGTTAGACATTAGTGCATAATAACATGCCTAATGAAATCTAATATATGTTAGCATGTTTCTCACTCCTTATATTTACTTCATCTCAACTTGATCAGTACCAGACAAACGAATAAAAATTATAGAATTGAATTCAAACGTATTGTATTTACATTTTTCTACTGGCTTGTAGTAGACAATAAAAAAAATTTTAAAAGTACATTAATTAATCCACTCATTATTCATTTTAGTTATTTATTTGTTCAAATTCTGGATAGGGATTAAATTTACAAGGAGGATCTTGAAAATCCCGGAGATAGCTGAGGAGACGGAGATAGCAACAGCAACGAAGGAAGCTGCGTGTAAGACAAACTCCACTGAGGAGATATCTGCTGGTGAAGAATCTATTGTTAGTTGTTGTTGTCGTTGTTGTTGTTGTGTGGTTTGTTGTTTTGTTTTACTGTGCTGTTGTTAGTTGTTGTTGTGTTGTTGTTGGATGTTGTTGTGTTGATTGCTGTCATTGTTTATATTGTGTTGTTGTTGTTGTGTGGTTTGTTGTTTTGTTTTGCTGTGTTGTTGTTGTGTTGACTGTTGTCACTGCTGTTGTTGTTGCTGCTGCTGCTGCTGCTGCTGTTGTTGTTGTTGTCATTGTTGTTGTGTTTTGTTTTCTGTTTTGCCTGTGTTAACTTTTAAAAGCCTCTGAAATATAATTGCGAACGAGAGTTTTTACAAAAGAGAAATTATTATAAAACAAAAAATGATATAATCCTTTTTGCAATGTAAGTTGAACTGCTGTTGTCTGCTTAATGTTGGATGTATGTTTTTCTGCTTTACCAGCTATATATTTGTCATAATTTTCATTTTTATTATGATATTTATTATTTCATTTTTTCATTTTATTGATAAAAAAATTGATTTATTATTATTGCTATTGTTATCATTACTACAATATTTCAATTATTTCAATATATTTAAAATTGTTTTATTACTCCAATGAGGTTTTTGTATTTAATTGAAAGTTAATTATTATACACTGTTAAGAAGTGCACATGTGTAATGTTGAAAAAAAAATTAAAAAAAAAATTGAAATATCACACATACATATTGTCTGTCATCAAGCAATTATAAATATTTGTAAACGATTAAACGAAATTCCATGGCTGTATTAATTAACCAGTCAGCTTAACAAAAACTGCCTACTCCCAAATTTGTCATCTCATTAGTTAATCGTCATAACCGCATCATCATCGTCATTGTGACGTCATCACTACGTCGTTACTCCGTTGTTGTTATTATGTATGACGTCATCGTAACTACATTACATTATTGTTATCGTAACACTATCACGACAGTGCCACACATCAGTGCCATTATTAATAACAGACAACACGCGTTATCATTAGCGTAACAGAACATGGTCTTTATAGAAATTACACAAAATTTATCATAATCGTCGTCGTCTCCATACTCCATTATGATCACAAAACTACACCATTACAACAACATCACAACAACAACATCACAGCAACAACATCAACACAACAACATCACAACAACAACATCATAATAACTTCACAGCAACAACATCACAACAACAACATCCCCACAACATCACAACAATGACATTGACAGGAAGACGGTCACAGCAACAAGTCAGACAGCCTAACGAGTCGAGAGAGTCAGGAGAGCATACTGACAGGTGGTTCGAATCCGCACCTGGCTAGCAACAGCAACAAGACCACACCAGCCTCCACACCGTCATCATCGCCGTCTAAGAAGTCAACTAAACAGCAGCAACAACCACAACATGAACAGCAATCAACAATGATTGATGTTAGGTTCATTCATTTTTTTTTTCTTGTAGAGCGTTCTATTTTTATTTTGTAATAATCTTTCTTTTAAATGTTTTTTGTTGATGTTTTTTCTTTCGAGATACTGAGGTTCCTTATTGGAAGTTAGGTTAGATTAAACGATGTAGAATGAGGATGATGATAATGAATAATAGATGTTAGTGATGTTGAGATGATACTACCACTTATGATGGAAAATTATAATTTTCTTTACTTACACACATACACATACTCACCAACGTAACAAACACCCATTTACGTATTTACACATAACCGACACACACACACACACACACACACACACACACACACACATACATACACACACACAAACATACATACATACAGACATACATACACACACACATACATACAGACATACATACATACATACATCCAACACACATACATACATACCGTACATACATACACAAAACCACACACACACACATAAACACACGCACACACACATACACACTCAACAGCGACCACCAACAATATCACTGGCGATGGGTGGCTTATCGAAGACCTCCTCGTCTTCATCTGATGCCCCGAACAACTTTTCAACGATTCGCACGACGTCCATCGTCACGCAGCAGCATCGCCAGCAAGTCCAGCAGAACATCATCAGGGAACAAATGTCTGGCTACAAGCAGATGAGGAGACAGCATAAGAGGCAACTGCATCAGGTTTGTTGGCTTCAGTTGGCTAGCTGGCTGGCTGCTTGGCTGCCTCATTCATTTGATAATTGATTGACTGATTGATTGGTTGGTTGACTGGTTTGTTAATTGACTGATTTGTTTGTTAGTTTTTTGGTTGGTTAATTGGTTGATCGATTTGTTTATTGATTGACTGATTGGTTGGCTGGTTGATTGGTTGGTTGGTTATTTAATTGGTTATTTTATGGTGGAGTGATGATGATGGTGAAGATGGGATTTTATGATCCAGTTGATTTTGAAGAGGCAGATGTTGTGCATGGGGATTGTTATTGCAAATATGAACTTCCAAATATGTTATTTTTAATTGCAGCTTGAGAACAAGCAATCGATCGAGTTGGATGAATTGAAGCAAAGAAATGAGAAAGAGTTTGAATTACGTCGGACACAGTATTCCAAAGAACTTGAACTTGACCTTCAGAGACAGGTCAAGGAGAAAGAAAAAGTGCAGGTCAGCTGACTGGTGGTTGATTGATTAGATCTAGTTCAGGGTTCATTGATTGGTCGGTTTTTGTTTGATTGGTCAGTTACTTAATTAGTTGATTACAAGTTTTTTCGTTTAAATATTTAGATGATTGATTTTATGCTGATCAAGTTATACACTAAAGGATTTTGTAAAGAGGAGTTGTAACATTGCAAAAATAAACGTCCATATGATCGATTTGTTTGCTTGCTAACACATTTGTAGCTGTTTATGTCTTTCTTGTTCATGCCATTGAACGTGCAAGTTTAAAACTGGATACGCAGTTATGTGTTTGTATTTTGATGTCACCATCCTAATGCAGAAAGTAACAAAGGTGCTTGAGGTGAAGAAGAGGAAGTACATCATACACATGCATGAGCAGGAAGTCAAGCAGATGCAGCAAAGTCAGAAGAAGGAGTACCAACGAGCCAAGGATGATATCAGAAAGGTTGGTAGGACGTAACTAGCGACTGTCTGGCTGGCTGGCTGATTGGCTGACTGGTTGGTTGACCGGCTGGTTGACTGGCTGGCTGATTGGTTGACTGGTTAGTTGACTGGCTGGCTGGATTGCTGGCTGGTTGGTTGACTCTATGGCTGGTTGGTTAAATTACTGGAATGTTAATTGAAATATAATCATTAAAGTTGAAGTATAGACCTAAATTTATTCATCAATCGTTTACTAATTTAGCATTCATTTTTCACTTACCATTCACTCATGACATCATCTTTATCATCACAACAACACGACATAACGTAACGAACATTCTCGCAACAACAGTGGTTATTTTCCTCGCACCATCATCATCCTCCTCACAAAACCACATCATCATCACATCACATCGCATTACATCCTCACAACAACACATCATCATCATATCGCCACATTATGTTATAATATTATCCTCACAACAACACTACCACTACATCACTTCATCATTGCAACACTAACCACACCACATCAGAGTCTACCGGCATCGTCACCAAATCGCGATGCGGTGGTGAAAGATAAGAAGGACACATTCAAACAGCAGCAGCAGAAGAACGAACAGACGTTGCTACAGCAGCAGAGGGAGTTCCTGGCGTTGGAGATGAGGAGGTTTTATAGGAGGAAGTTGTTGCAGTTCCATCTCTTTGAACAAGAACTTTTTCGTGAGGTACTCGCTGATTGATGGTGATGTTGTTGATTTTGGCGATGAAGATATGTTGGTGGTGATGGTGATAAAGATATGTTGGTGGTGTTGGCGATAAAGATATGTTGATGATGGGATGAAGATACGTCGGTGATGATAGTTAGTGATGAAGATGTTGGTTTTGTTGACGATGGTGATAAAGTTAGTCATGATGATAATGATAGATGTTTTTTTTATGACGATAAACTTGATGACCATAGTAAATGTTAGATTGAAAATGATATAAATGCACTGTTTCACATGTAAAAGATTTCTAGATTAATAGTTCGATCAGCAATTGATATCATTAATAACGATACAAAATACAGTTGATGATAAAAAATAATATAATATGTGAATCAACTTATCAAACAAATAAACTAACAAACAAACAAACATACAAACAAACATACAAACAAACAAACATACAAACAAACAAACAAACTCTCAGCATACAGGCAAGAGACTGACCCAGATGGAGTTCTTGCACGAGATGATGCTGAGACAAGATGAAGATGTGAGAGACCTGCAGATCAGACATTTTGAAAATCTTCAGAAACTCAAGCAGGACTTGATGGAGCAACAACACCAGGTTCTCTCACAGACCAGATTTATTTTCACTCGTCATTTGAATTGTTGATGGAGCTAGTTTATTTCCACACTAGAAAATATTTTCACAGTTATTGAATGAAATACTTAGCTGGCTTTATATATTTTGACCAATCACCTATCATTCGACTGATTGTGTGTAGATCCATTAAACAACTTTTCAACTGCCACCATCCAGCCACTCATTTGCCACCCCCATCGCCATCCAACCACATCATAGGAGGAGCTGAAGAACCAGGATGAATACACTGTTAGAGCAGAAAGAGAACTGAAACTACGACACAGTACAGAATCCCGACAGATGCCAAAAAACCTGAGGACTCGTGAACAGGAGATCAGAAAACAGTATCGAGATGTCGTCAGAGTGCAAACAAAACAGTACAAACTACTCAAGGAGCAAATCATTTATAAGACGCCAAAGGTAGATTTTGGCGGGAAACAATTGGATTTTTGTTTTAGACGGATTTCGTTGAAGTATCTAAATATTCTTACCATCAATAAGATTTTATTCAACAAAATTATTTTTAGTAAACTGTTTTTTTTTAAACTGAAAATCAGATTTAATATGTTTAGCGTATTTAGCACCTTTATGTTTTGATCCAACTCTAGTTATTAGCTTAAATGACGATGAAAAACGTAATGAATCGCTGCAGAATGAACAGAAAGAAGTCCTGATGAAGTTGAAGGACGATCGCATGAGGAGGCTGGCCATGCTGTCAGAACAGTACCAGCAGAGCATCAACGAATACGCCCAACATCAAAATGTTGGTTTATACGCTTGTTTGTGTGTGTTTGTTTGCGTTACAAACTGCTCTGTTGTAGCGAATCCACATAACTCGCTACAAACTGCTCTGTTTGGTTATGAAATCGTAAATACTTTATTGCAGTGGATGTTGGTCTTTACCAGATCCATAATAACTACGTTCTTTTTCCTGGATCAGGTTCGGATGGACTCCACTCAGTCAGCTGAAGAGACGGAACTGCGCAAACGACTGATTGAAGAGGCCGATCTCTTGAAGGCCTGTCAGAACAAAATAATGACGCAATCTCAGAACCAGGCGAAGAGGGAGAGAAGTGAATTGGAAGAGAGAGTATCAGAGAGGAGGGCTAAATTAGTACACGAAGTAAGATGTCTCAATTATTTTCTGTTTTAATTTATTGCGTTTGTTCATAGATCATGAACTTTTATATATAACACTGGCGACATCTGATGTTTCACTATAAAAAATATAATGCTTGTTCAACGCAAATGACAACACCCCACCAACCAATCACATCACAGGCAGACGAGGAGTTGGCAGTTTTCGACAGCAATCGTTCTCGTCAGATGACAGACCTTTTAAATCGTCAGGCGAGGGAAGTTGAACAGTTTGATGAAAAAAGTGGAGAGGAAGGTCTCGAAGCGGCCAACGAACCTGAAGTCATCAAAGAAGATGACTACACAGATGGTAGCAGAGGAAGTACCTTAAGTCTAGCAGCTGCTGCTGCTGCTGTCTCGCCAATGTCTCTACTTAGGATGAAGTCTAAACCATGACTTCGTATTCGTTTTGAATCGCAAATAAATGTGTGTAGGTATATATGTACGTTTAAATGCACAGACTACTCGAATATTCATTTATATAGTTCAAGAAGGGTCGATGCTAATAAATTAAATAAATAGACATGACTTAGCAGATCACTCACTCTCCAGCCATATTTGGCTCTGAAACGTTTGGCATCCATTAGAGCATGTTTCATCATTATTATTTTTGGAAGACATTATCATCATTAACATCATCGTCATCATCATCGTCGTCTCGTCTCTTCCTCTATTCATAATTGGCGACACATTTTTCTCATCGACCACTATGAGAATAATTCCTCCTTCTCTTGCTATATCTCTCTTTCTCTCTCTCTCTCCGCTTTCTTTTTCTCGTTCTGTCTTTTGTCTTTCTTTCATTTCTCCTTGCCAAATGGTTATATTATAATTCCGTTTATGACAGTGACTGAGGGGCACATCATAGGATATTTGTGCAAAGAATTTTTTTCATTTCTATGCATGTGTGTCGAAATGTACAATGCATAAATTACAAATTATATGTATATATATATATATCTATGTGTGTGTGTGTGTGTGTGTGTGTGTTTAATATATGCTTAATTGTATTTACATACATATGTGTAAAGGTCTTTGGCAATAGTTGAATATCAAGCAATTTTCATCGTACTGTATGCACATACCCACACACAACACACGCATACGTGTACACATATGCACACATATGCATTCTTAATCACACATACACAAACACACATCCACACACACACACACACACAGATATTACACCTGTATATAGCACAGACATACAGTACATACATCCATTTACTTATGTACAAGATACAAAAATGTGCTTTTAAAAAGTTTAGTTTTTTTTGTATTGTTTTCATAGTTGTATAATTGTATATTAATATGTGGTTTTGTTTGTCTGACTGTATATTATGCAGTTAGTTAGTGGCAGTGTTTTTGTCTTTGTCCATTTGTTCTTCATGTTTGTATACGGTCTTTTTGTATATATTATGTGTTAAAATCACTTATAAAATGCCTTATGGAGATTATATATATATATATATATATATATATATATATATATATATATATGTATATATATATTACACTTATATATATATCACATTTAAATTTTTAAATTTGAAACATGTAATGAACTAATATTTGTTTATTGTATATGCAAATACAAACACACACACACATATATATATATATATAATTTTATATTATATATATATATATATATATATATATATATATACAGTATTGTATGAATCTTACCGAATTGTTGGCATTAATCAATTTAAAGTACTAATTGAACAATTACCAGAGAATTCTAGTAAGGAAAATTGAAAAGACAAACTTTAATTTGATTAATGCCAACAATTCGGTAGAATTCATACAATCCTCTATAAAATATGGTCTCCTTCCAACATATATATGTATATGTATATGTATGTGTATGTATATGTATATTTCATATATACATAGGTATGACAGTGAAATTATGCATTCTGAGAAAATATTATTTTTATATAAATATTTTTGTATATGTGGTTTGTTTGTTCATTTGTTTGCTTGTCCAATTAGATTCAAACATTTATCAGTATTGATCATTATTCATTTTGATGTTCAATCTAGTTCCTTCATTGTATGTTTTTTATTTATTTGTTTGTTTTTGTTTGTTTGTTGTTTGTTCATTCGCCTCTATATGTTTATCTTTTTTTATTTATTCATTTGTTTATCAACTTATTTATCTGTTCAACACTTTTTTTTTAAACTTTGCTTACGATGAATGTAAATAAGTTAATATGTAATTTCATTCAAGAGACGTCATGGGCGGGAAGAGTTGAACAACTAAATGCATATTTCAATTTGAGTGCATCACACGAGCCAAGATATTTTTGCCTTGCCTGATAATATTGGGTTGATATTGGTCTGACATAATTTTTTTCTTCTGTTTTTCGAAATAATATTAGTAATAATAATAATAAGTAGTAATAATAATTTTATTTATATAGCGCTATTGGCAGAGCGTCAGTGGCGTCACATTAGATTACGTTACATTACTACATTACATTACAATACAATACATTAATTCTCATCTATCTCGATGACACGCATGTTATTTGTAAGATGTGTGCGTGCGTGTGTGTGTCTATACGTGTGTGTGTATCTATGCGTGTGTGTGTGCGTGTCTCTATGCGCGCGTGTGGGCCTGATAAATTAGGTTTGTATTGATCATTATGATTCCAGTTTGGATGGCATTATTTGATACTGCTAAAAAATTTAATAAAGTTTTATAAGGCTGCTTTATTATATTTATTTATTTATTATTTTATTTTTTATTGATTATTTGTACTTATTTTGAACAGTTCAGTTATCATTCTCATATTTATTAATATTATATCCTAAAATTCAACTTCCATTTTGCTGATAAACTAAAGACACTTAATTCTAACTTTATTCGATTGAACTACAAGTGTTCTGAACTGAATAGAAACACTAACTAAACACACACACTCATATATAATTTCATTGAAATCTGCATTTCTAGTACTTTTTCATTTTATTTCAGATTTGTTTTAAATGTGATTGTGAATTTGCGACGGGGTAGGAGAATACCGATGAGAATTGAAGTTTATTTAACTTTTACGAACGGCTGTCATCACACATAGTTGGCTACATCTACCGATAATGCAATCTTACATTGCAGTACCGCGAGTAAATTAATTAAATGGTTTTATACTGTTGAATTCTTCACTAAGAGTTGTTCGTTTTTATTTAGTTTTTATATATATTACGTCATTAAATATTAAAAATGTTATTAACGTCTATTTGTGCTAAAAATATTTTGCTGTATTGAATCAACTAACCTATGTAAACAATTACATGTAATTTTAAAAACGGCTTTATCACATTAGTAACGTAGATAAATAGGCAATGCAGTAAAGCTATTTTAAACACAATCGAGTACTAATAAATAAATTGTTTTTTTTTTTTCAATATATCCATTAATTATTTTAATTTAATTAAAACTTTAATTCGTACCTCAAAATGTTTTCAAATAGTTGGGTTTCTGTACTGTACATGTATGTATGTATATTTATCGTGTTGCCCTGTCATTCCTTATTTTTATGAAATTTATGGACGGCATATTTTTATTTCCATTATTTATTACATTAAAAAAACAACTCTGAACTATTTATAACAAAACGACGTTATTCCGAAAATTTTAAAACATTTTAACATGAAAAATTATATATATATTATATATACATATAACAAACAACAAACAACACACGTTTAGACGACATTTTCTCCGAGATCGGGGGTTGCCGTTTGGCATATATACATATATTATTATTATATATATATATATATATATCATGTAATATGACTGCTTTCTGAAAAATACACTTATTAACCAACTGCTTGTGTCTTACGCAACTTATGGAAGGTACTAATAAAATAAATTATGTAAAATATGGAAAATTTTTATGCACTTTTTCTCTCACATATATATTATATATATATGTGTCTGTGTGTGTTTATGTGTTTGTGTGCGTATGTCACATTCATGCGTATAAAAATAGTTCCATATATCAGTAAAATGGCCCGTGTTTGTTAAGATAGCAAGTTTTGTAAACTCAAACATACAAAATTATATGAAATACATTAATGGTTGTATTTTTTTTTCAATCAAACAAAAACGAATAAAAATAATTAGAAATATTTTATGAAAATAACTAATTATCCAACGACATAAAAGATTTTGATAAGCAGATAAGCCGAAGCATTGAAGTATTCAAAATAACCATCATTGTAAATGGTTGCTTGTAAAATCAATTGTACGATTGTAAAATTCTTAGATGAAAATAATAAAAGAAAAGGAATTAATTCAATAGTGTTGGCATCGGCGGATGAAGTTCTAGAGTTTCGTCCATGTTGAAAATGGAGTAGTAATAACATTGTTGGTGAGTTGTTGTGCCGTCTCATTCAGTGATTGTGGCTTGTAGTAGTGCTGTGGGTATATGGAAGCATGTTGTTGGAAATTTTCGTGGTAGTTTCTATGTTGAAAGGTTTGCATCTGAGAGAAATTCTCATTATGAGAAGGATGGATTGGTCTTAGTGAAGGGTGATGATATCTCTGCATGTAGTGGTAATGTTTGAAGATTTCTGAATGTGGAATATTGATGGAGTGTTTTTGTGGCTGTGGCATCCATAAATGATGTCCATGATTGTGAACGTGACTGAAACGTTGCAGCCGATGATCGTCATTTTGTTCCGGATGATGCAACTCGTTAACTTCAGCCACTTTACCGCTGCTACAAGTTTTGTTACTGTTCTCGTAGTTGTTATCTTTACTGTAATAATAACTGTCAAAGTTGTGCATTTTGTTGCTGAGTTGGTTATTGTTATAACATGCAATCATGTTCATCTGATTTGCCTCGCCGGTGTTAATGTCATCGTAATTGTTATAATTGTTGTTGTTGCTTCTGCTGCTGTTGTTAACATCGTCAGCATCATCGTCACCATCATCATCAACAGCTGCATCGTCTACATTTTCAATGCGGTCTGACATCTGCTGGTACAACTTGGATAGGAGTACACTCATGAATGTTTCTGATTTCGAGCAAATGACATGATGATGCATCTTGTTTTTTGCGTCAAAATTGTTATCATTATATTCAACCTTGTAGTCTGCATCGTTACTTACATTATCACCATTTTCTTCCTCCTCTTCCTCGTCATAATTATTATTATCATCGTTGTTGTTGTTGTTGACACCTCTTTTAGCGTAGTGAGACTCGTTGGAATTGTTTTCCCTATTTTGATTTTCTTCAAGCTGATTATTGATCTCCATGATATCGGAATAAATATTGCACATTATCTCATAATTATCTTTTCCGTGCAATTCGTTTGATGACCTTGACGACCTTGACGACGTTGTGATTGTTAGTGATGTTCTAGTTGTTAAAGTTGTCGTTGATGTGAGACCTCTCAGTGATGAAGACGGTGGTTGTTGTGGCGTTTTATTATCCAGTTCACACCTATTAATGGCGTCATCTTGTTTGGACTTGGCAACAGCAGCAACACACTTGGTTGATTGCTTCCTTGTTATGACGTCACAGCCTTGCTGTTGTGGCTCCGACGTAGTTGCATGTTTTGTTGTCAATTCTTCATCTTGGTTCTCCTTATTTTCTGACTTTGAAATATTGCACGTCCCCTCGGTATTTTGCATCACCTGTTGGTTGGAGTTGATTGTCAAATTCTTTTTCAAAGTCTGCATCACTTGGTTAAATTTATTTTTAAAATTTTCAACAGAGCCGGAATCGGTTATCTGCTGTTGCAGTTGTGGCTCTGTAAGCCGGGGTTGTTGCAAACAACTAAATTTTATATTATGCTGTTGTTGGCTATCTTGTTGGAATTGAAGTTGTTGTTTTTTCAAGTTTTGTTGTTCCTTATCTCCCTCTTCTTTGTAGTTACATTGGATTCCAGTTGACTGATCGCAAATTTGACCCACAATCTCCTTTTGTTTCAACTTTCGCTCTAGCATCATATTATGCATACATACATTTTGTAACTGCTCTGAAATATAGGAGTTTATTGACTTATTATTGATCTCAGCATTATTCAAACCATCATTTATATCATTCTTGAAATCACCAAAACCTTCATTGTTGTAGCTATTGTTGTTGTTTTCATTTACGTTCTCGTGTGTGCAATCACACTCCAAGCTCTGTTTGTGAATCTTTCCATGAGCAGGCGCATTTGTGAATGGTGTTGCACCTGCTGGTAGTGAGACTATGGCGCCATCTGGGCACACCTTCTGTTGTGGTTGGTGTGGCGTTAGTTCCAATTCATCGTGCATCATCAACTGCTGCTGACTCCGTTGATCAGACCTCATCTCTGATATGCTTTGTTTTTGTTTATCTGGTGTTGATTGCTTCAAGTATCGTTGTTGGTGTCGTTGTTGAGGCTGATTTTGAGTTTTATAATTATACTCAGAGGTAGTTGCACTAGATGAGTCACTGCTACTACCACCACTATTATTCATGTTATTATTGTTGTAGTTTTGGTTGATATTAACATCAACTGAACTACAATCACTCTCGTTATCTTCATCCTCATCACTATTCTTGTCATCATGTTTGTTGCTGTCTGAGCTGCCATCATCATCGTCGTCGTCATCATCATCCTCATTAGCCTTGTCATTTTCATTACAGCGCACATCAATGTTTGGAATGAAAGGCTTCTTAAATTGTGAAAAGAAATCTTGCTTGCTCATTTTAACGCTAGTGTATGGGCCGTTGTGCATTAAATTTTGTGGCTGTTGTTGTGTTTGTCGTCTACCTGCGTTGTTGTTCTCTGCTTGTTGCAGTCGGTGATGTGGTTGAAAATTATGATAATTAGTATGCTGTGAAAAATATTGCTGACTCTGCTGCTGCTGTTGCCGCTGATCGTAATCTTGCTCTTGGGGATTTGGTTGGTACTTTTCATATCTGTGTTCTTGACTTTTTAAATGTCTTTGTTGATGATTTTGAAGATGTTGTTGAGGATGTTCATGTTGACGTTTCTGTTGATTTTGTTGTTGTTGACGATGTTTTTGTTGATGATCTTGTTTATAGTTTTTTCGAAACTGTAGTGCTTGCAGATGTGGTTGACGTTGTTGTAGCTGTTGATGTGGTAGTTGATGTTGCTGTTTGAAATGCTGTTGTTGATGCTTTGATGTTTGTTGATGCTTTAGCTGTTGTCGATGCTGATGCCAGTACAGTTGTTGTTGTTGTAGTGGTTGTGAATGCTGTTGTAAATGTTGTTGTTGGGATTGTAAATGTGGCTGAAAATGTGGCTGTTGTTGAACATGCTGTTCTGGAAGATAATACTGTTGATTGAAGTTTTTTTCCTCCATTAGATTCTCTGTATTAAGAAATTGTTGACCATACTTATTTTGCTGACGAGATTTTACTGGAATGGAACTGTACTGCAGCTGCTCATTCTGCTCTGGTTGTTGCGCCAATTTTTTTTTACTTTCTGATAGCAACTTTGCTTTTTCCACATTACTAATGTTATCTACATTGAAATCTGTGTTGATGTCACTAGAATTGTAAACTGGTTGCCCCAGTGATTCTTTCATTCTTCTTGGAGTTGACGGAAAGAATGAAACTTTTTTACCAGCCTGTCTGCTCAATTCATCCATCTCATTGATATCAATATTGCCAGCATAGGCAAGGTTTAAAATGTTTTCAGTCGTTTGAGATGTATTTTTTGGGAGATGATTGGTGTAAGAAGAACATTGTTGTTGTTGTACCTGATGTGGTTGCGGTTGTACATATTTCTGATCAGGCTGTCCTGCTTTTACTTCAGAATCATCATTATTTACTTCATCCTCATCATCATCGTTATTTGTACTTAATATAAAAGATAGGTCGTCATAGAATGGTGGCAAGTTTTGTGCAAGAATAGTAGCAGGTTTATGCTGAAGAGAGTGTCGTTGCTCACCTGATAAAAACTGTTGACCACTTTCTGATTGGGAATTGTGATTCTCATCAATGTATTCCTGCTGTTCCTTTATTAATTTGTCGTAGTACTCCAGCCTCTTGTAAACAATTTTTTCCAAGTTTGCCATCTTCTTTTTTTGCGCGAGGCTGTAGTCAGCGAGTTGTTGCTTCGTTGCGCTGATTTCTCCACAATACTTCATGCGTTCCTCATTAAGATTCTGTCTGACTTTTTCCAATTCTGATATAAGAAACAATCTGACTTCATCTCGCTCGTTCAGTAATTTTTTCAAAGTTTTCAAATTAAAATCAATGTCATCATTTAATGATGTCGTATTTTTATATGAAGACGATGAATTGTTTGCATTTCTTTCATAACAGTTATTGTTGTTGCAGTCATTATTGTTATTATCATTACAATGTCTTGAATTTTTAGCCATGTTGAATTTGCAGAATATTTCAGCCAACAGTGTACGAGCTTTAGGATTGTTTTCAGTTGTTTCTTTGAGTGTTCCTTGTTTAGAGTTACTTTTATCAAAGTTGGAAAATTTAACATCATTGTTAGCGGTATTTGAATTGTTAGAATTAATTTTATTGCTCTGAAGATTTGAAATGGTTTTATATTTTACAGTGTTGTCATTTTCAATTTTTGCATTTATTTTGTTGCTCTTATTGCTAGACAACTTTTCTAATTTATGTCCCTTCATGTATCTGCCACGAATATTTCTAGCCCTCTGTATATACCTGCCGTTCAGATTTATGGCACTCTCACACGATCCAGTTTGTGAACAATTGTGAGATGATATTTTATATTTTTTATCAGGGCTAGAATTATAATGACGATAATAACGATGATGGTGATGATGATGATGAGGATGATGGTAGAACGAATTACATCTGGAAGACTTCTTGCTGCAACATCTCAACTTTTGTTTTCTATTCATCTTCTTCCTCCAATGACAGCAGTGGTGATGTCCATTGTTATAATGTTTGTGATGATGAATTGATGACCTATTGCACTCACAATCCTCTGTCAGACAAGATGTTGCTGATGTGAAAGTTGTTGTTTCGGTTGTTGCAATCTGCGATATGCATTCTGAAATATCAGACACTGATGCTGAGTTCTGCGTATCTTTTTTGCCGTAATGACTGCTGTTATTGTTGTTGTAGTTGTTACTGTCGTCACTGTCGTTATTGCTGTTATTTTTATTATTACGGTTATTATTGTTAACATTAGAGTTTTTAACAATGTTGTTTATACCTAGCTCAGCTTTATTTGAATTGTTTTCCCATTTCAGACATTTTTTGTTACAGACAGAAACTGTCTCATCATTATTGTCACTTGTAGCATTTGTGTTAGAGAAAAAGGTGCTTTTTTTATTGTTAATGAAATCAATAATGCTTTCAATGTTATTGTTGATCGAATTTTTATTCCTTATGAATTCATCTTCTTCAAAATTTTCACTTCCATTATCACCGTCATTAATATCACATCTGTTTCTAGATCCGTTTAAATTTTCATCATAGTTAGGTGGATAGTTTGAATGCTTATGTAAGATTTGCTGCTGTTGTTGCTGTTTCATCTGCAATTCAATTTGCTTTTCTACTGTTTTCTTTATGTATGCCTCTGTGTCAAATTCATAAAGTGTTTTTGCAGTGTTTTGCTCAACGTATGAATACTTTTCAGTAGCACAACTCTTATTCGTATCTTGTTTAATGTTGATTTGATCGACCAGCGGTGGAGATGTCTCTAAAATGCCATTCCCATGTCTTTCTTTCATTTCTTTGTGCGGATGTTGCAACTGAGATTCATTCACTACCTGAAAGTCATTTGCTTGTTTCTGTAACTTAGATTCATTTGAAATGAATTGATCACGATACTGCGAAAAGCAATTTTGTTGTTGATTTCCTATTGAGTTGTTAGCTTCATGAGAATCAAGACAATTTTCATTGTTATTAGATATTATTGTTTGCTGAAGTACATTGAGAAGGTCAGGGTTGTTTAAACTGCTGAATGAATTTTGATCATTCCTGCAGCAAGTGAACGATTTTAACAGACCAATCAATTGGGCAACAGGCTGTTGTTCAGGCTTTTGTTGTGCATTTAATATTGGATTGTTCATAATATGTTTTATAGAGTCTTTTTCAACACAACCAGATAATAATTGAGCAACAACAGCATTGCAATCAACTGAGTTGTTTTCACTACCATTTCTGTTTGTGCAGGTAAAATCAGCAAAACAATTATTATTGTACGTAGTTTCGCTATTGAGATAATTTAACATAAGTTTTCTAACTGAATCAGCCAGTTCACGTGGCACATCACCTTTGTTCATCACACTCATAGCCAACTTCAATAAAAGTTCTATTAATGAATTATCAAGAGGTTGATCATTTACCGTCTGCATTTTTTTATTATTTCTTTTAATTTGTTTTTTGTTTTTGCTTTTGGTGTTATCTTGGATGTTATTACTGCAGTTACTGTTAGCATTGTTATCTTTATCATTTTTATTATCAATCTTTGCATTGGCTAGCTCATCTTTTTTGTACTTTGTTTTTTTATGGTTAGATTTATGGTTTGACTTTTTTGAATTTCGTTGAGTTTCTTCAACAACTTCAGTCACATTACATTTATCATGTGGTCTGTTGTTTTTAAGTTTTTGGGCCTTAGAATCTGTTCGCTTGTCTTTACTTGTGTTGTATTCACTTTTGTGATTACTTTCAGGTTTTTGTTTACCATTCTTTTTTTTGTCTGTCATTTTTTTATAATTATTTTTGGACTGATCTTTTCGTGATTTGCTATTCTTTGGTGGAATAACATCACCGTAGTCACTTTGTTGCTGAAATTGTTGCAGCTCTTGTTGTATTAACATTGCTTCTTTATTCCAGCCTTTATTTGAGCATGACATGTTATAGCATCCATCATAATTTAAACTGTTAAATATGTTATAAGAATCATCATAAAAAACATTGGGTTCACCGTCATCATTAAAATCAGGCATAAAATTATCATAGTAATATCGGGAATGAAGTGACTTGTTAAAATTAAGTTCATCATGTTTATTGAAACTAACATATTCTCCCTCATAAACATCAAAGTCATTATAATTGTTATTAGATTCATTGGCAACATAGTTATCCTTTTCATCTGTGTAACTATTTTTTTCAACGGCCAAGTCTTCCACGTTTGTATAAAGTTCAGAATAATTCTTTACTGAATTCTTGATGTGATTATGATTATTTTCGTAATAATGATTATATTCAGAGAAGTCATCTTCATCAAAGTATGTTGTTGCTGCCTGGTTGGTGTTCGCACATTGATCAACGCTTATTTCCTTCCCATCATTTCTTTGGTGATGTGGGCTTCTTTCTATCAAAATTGTATTATAATTATTAAAATAGCTTAATGGTGACTGACTTGGAAGGCATGCACTATTCTTATTAACTCCTTTGTTGTTGGTTATTTTTGCTTGCTCACTAGATGTCAGTCTGTCGAAAAATTTTTCAGAAAATTCACTCACATAAGCATCATTACGAACCGAACTTGTTTGTCTGCATGCTGCAACTTTTCCTTTGCATTGTGGCTGGTCAACTTTGTTGTCTTGTGAATTAGCAACAATTGATGTATTATCTAACTTGTAATTCAATAGAGATGTTTCTGATTCATCTTTATAACTTTTTCTGTTCATTCCAGTTAGTCTGTTTATAAAATCATTATTGCTTTTATCATGCACCAGGTTTTTATGCTTTTCAATTTCAAGTACTTCATTGTGGCAAGCACCATCTTGATCATTGAAGTATGTTTCTCTATCTTTGCCATCAACATTATTGTTATTAATATTACAACCATTGCCTAGCATTTCATCATTGCATTTGTAGCCAGTTTTGTTTAGGCTTAACTCATCAACACATGTATCTTGATTGGTTGTTGTAGCCAGCTGATTATTTAATACATTCAAAACGGATTCAACATTTGAATTATTATTGTCATTCTCATTAATAATATTAGTTGTGGGTTTGGCTAATTTCAATGAAGACCTTTTTTTTGGCAATGGATGCAAGTTTGATACGTTTATATTTTCAGCAGCTAAATTTTGTAAAGTGCAACAAAAGTCATTTTGATTTAAATTATTATTGAAACCATTATTGGCAAGGCTTGAATCTTTGTTTATCATAGTAGTAACATTTTTACACCTATCAACACTATGATGATGACTTTTATCAGAAGTCTGTACTAAAATTGCATCAAAATTCTTAGGACTCCCTGATTTACATTCTTGTGATTTAATTATTTTCTTATGGGTTACATCTTCATTTGAGCTGTTATTTCTTACTGCATATTTAATTACTTCAGCTGGTTCTTTATGGGGGGGATTTAAGCTTTCACATTGTAGCACATAGTGGTCATTTGTTTTATTATGATGCCTATTTAAATATTCATGTTTAGAAGACTCATTATTTAAATTATAATGATGGCATTCATAATAGCATGATCTCTCACAGGCATTTGCATTTGAATGGTTTTGATTATTAATTTTATATTCATGAATTTTTGGAGGAACAGCAAATTTTAATTCTGCTTTATTTTTGCCAGAATTTTTATTTGGTAAATTTGAGTCAGTGAAATTGTCATCCATATTGAAATTCATTAAATTGTTGGAAATATTTACCTGGTTACTGCACTTATGAGAATCCAGTTTAGAAACTACAAAGCTGCTGCTAATATCACTGCTGATGCTGCTTGTTTGTATTTTTTTGTCAATCAGTTTTTCTTTTTGTTTATTCAACAGAAGTTCCCTTTCAAATTCGAACTTTTGCACAACCTGCTGCTGGCGTTGGTCTTCAAGGACTCTCTTATAATATTCAATTTCTTGTTGCAGTTTTAATCGTTGATTCTCACTCTTCTGCGCAATCTCAAGAAAATGAACGGCCTGTGCAACATTCGGTTTCGTATTTTTTAACTTTCCGTTTAAGCCGCTGGCCAGGCGTAAGGACAACCTGTGGGACCTTTCAAACGACGTTACATCCTCCATAGTGAATCATCATTCCTAATTTAATTAAGTTTAGACCGCAAGGAACTGAGAAAGAGAATAGAAACAAGAAGAAAATGTGATGTTGATAACTTAGGTCCTACTTAGGTCCTCTAACTAACTAAGCGAAAGAACTGGTTGTTTAATAATTACTGAATAATTTCTAAGAAAAAACAATGACAATTTTATTAAGTTGAATATTGTCTCAAATAAAATCAAACAAATTCAAGCTATATTTTGTTTAAATACTAAAAACGTCATTTCATTATTTCGTAACTTTTTCTATTTTCTTAGAGCTTGCAGAGGCAAAAAATGGCCGACAAAATTTTAAATTAGCCAAACAATCAGCCAAAACGTAAACATAGTCAAATAAACAAATTAAATAATTAAAAGTTTTAGGTCTGCGGTTGGCTACTAAATGACGTCATAACGAAATGTCATAAAACTAACGTAACATTTTAACGAATTAAATTTAAATACTTTTATTTTGAACAATGTCATCTATTATTATACAGGTTACATACACATATAAATGAAAGGAATAATTGAACTTTTAACAATTTCCAATATGACTGACAATCAATAACTACGTACCACGATAACTGAAACAAAATATTTTTCTAAATTTAAGTTTAAATAGTGTTTAAGTCTTTCGTAAATCAATAAACTATATATATACACTATACACACACACACGCACACACACACACACACACACACACACACACACACACACACACACACACACACACATATATATATATATGTGTGTGTGTATATATATATATATATATATATATATATATATTGTAAAAATTTATCTAAATACAAAATTATCGTTTAATTTTACTTAAAAAACAAAACTCTATTCCAACAAAATTAAAGGACAAATATTTTTTATGGATACACACATGCTTAGGTCTCACATACATGTATAAATACACACACACTTACATACATGCATACACACACATACACGTACACAAACATGTACTTGCAGACATTTATTTTATGAAAAAATGATCCTAAATTAAGAGAAATAGAGGTAAAATATCACATATTAATATACGCACGTTACACACAAGCGTATCGTACATGTGCGTATTGTACATACATACATAAATGCAATACATACACGCGTATAAACCGCACAGACTAACAATAAAAATAGTAACAGAAATTAAAATTTTATAACTTCACCTCGTTCTCGTCATCTTTATAACTCTAATAATTAATGTTTATTAAATTGTCTAAAAAAAACATTTACAAAGTAACGAATAATATAACGCATTGTTGATATGGCGTTTAATGTAACGTAAATAAATATCGCATCCGCCTGCATCCTAACAATGTCGTATACTCTCTATGACGAAATGTACATACACATACATGATAACATTTGTGGTTTTGTTGTGTGTGCGTGCAATCTCGTGTGTGCGTGTTCTCTCTCTCTCTCTCTATGTTGGTCTTGACTAATTTCTAACGTTAAATCTACATTGAACATGAACATTCATTCGGTTTATTAGGTAACAAATTTATTTAGTTTAAAATTTATTAAAGTTATCTTTCAACAATTTTGTATTTGTGATGCTGATCAAATCATGTTTCATGGTCATATGAAATCTCTAACGATTTTTGTTAGATAGTGGCAAGGTTTTCGAATAGGTTTGATGAGCAAGATTAACTTTATTTTTATCATCACAAAACTTTGAATACAAATACCTTTTATAGTGGTCTTATTGATATGCGTAGGTGTACTCTAGAATGGTATGTTATTAGTTTTGGATTGCTTAACATTATGTAACAATTGCTAGCTAACATGATACCAACGGTTATTTATACATAATATTCCTAAGAAATTGTAAGACATACGCACACGCAGAAAAACAAGCGTAAGCATTTGCTTACGCAGATACAAATGAACAAACAACCGCATGTAACAAATGTTGTGTGTTGCTGATGTTGTCCGCTGAATGGTTCTAATGTAAAATATGAAAATAGTAAAGAACGATTTAGAAATTAAGACTGACAGTGAACTGAAAGTCAAAGTACACGTACACACGTGCGTCTGTGCACTACGAGAAACACAAACTTGTATGATGGGTTGTACACGCACATGTGTTTGTGCGGATGTTTGTATAAGTTGCATTTGGTGTTTGTATTATATAATGCCAGTGCAAATTTGTACTGTACTGTAGTGAATGAACGCGTTTGTTTAGTTAATGTAATGTGTGCATGTGATATGCGTAGACTTTAATATTTCTTTAGTGTACCAATTGTGATGGGAAGGATGACGATGATAACTATTTGATGACAGCAATGTCCAGACTAAAAATTAATTACGATAACATGTAGACAGCATGACAGTTATAGTTTTTGTAACAGCAGTTTTGACCACATTCGTCTCATTGTACGTCTATGTTGGAATATTTCACATTGTCAAACATAATTTGTTGGTGTTTGATTTGTTTGTTTAATTTGAACGTGCAGCTTCACTTTTTACCAAAACAAATAACTTTAAATGTAATCCGGTAAAGAGAGATGTAACTGAGGTATCCGTAATAATCGATTCTTAATATCTAATCGATATCGTATCGATATGAAGGCGAGTAATTAATAACGAATCATCTGTTTGTCGGAAGAGGTCTTGCCTCCTTATTGGTTCCCTATCAAATGGGCGTCTCCAGTATGGGCGTGGTTGTAAATTCTATCGAATTGTGATTGGACGAACCGGCCATCACGTGATTGTCAACAGCCAATCTTACGTCGAGTAGAGGGCTTTCTCTTCCTGAAATCAAAATTTAGCTTCGCAATGTCGAATCGATTTATCTATTGAAATAAAAAAGTAAAATTGTTAAAACGAATAAATAAACAAATTTTAAGAACAAAATTTTTCAAAAACAATCTAACCTTCAAGTGCTCTCCCAACACTGAAAAATGATGAAAAGAATATGATAATGATAATAATGATGAGAACGATGTGATGGTTAGAGATAAGCAAAAATGATGACAACTTGAGTAATAATTATGACTAAAAGTAATTAAAACTAATTTAAACAAAAACGAATATAATATAGATTGATAGATGTTGAAAGTTAATAAAATTAATGATGATAAATTATTTAAGTACTGAAAAACAATTGGTTATCTTTGATCATAATTATCAACTTCGCAGCCAACATTACCATCGCGTTTTTTCATAATTTTTTTGGGTTGGTGCTTTTGAGAGCTTTTAAAAGGCGCTACATAAAATACACACATAAATACACACATAAATACACACACATACAAACATACATACATAGATACATACATGCACATATACAAGATGCAAAACTTGCAGAGGCAACAAACACATCACAATCTTCCATCTTGTAAGCACGTCACATACGGTTAAATAAGTAAGGCGTTTAAATATTTTCAATTTTTCTTAGTCGGCACGCCATGCGTACTGTACAAACAGACATCGTAAAATTTTGTTTGCTTGCATGTATATTTATGTATACCGGGTACTTCATAGCTTGTATAGACACATGTCTGTATTTGTTTGTGTGTCAAAGTTGTACTTATTTGTGTTCAGTCCTATAGACCCACCCTTAGGTGGGTCTATAGGACTGAACCCCCCCAGTGAATAATTTTGTTATAAATAAATTTAAGTTTAACCAAATTTAAACCCTCCGACATAAACAAGTTAAAGTTTTGCCTATGTTTGTGTTTACGTGCATATACGTATGTGAGCGTATGTGTTTGTAAGTGTATGTGTTTGTTAGTGTATGTGTTTGTGATTGTATATGTTTGTTAGTGTATGTGTGTTTGTGAGTGTATGTGTTTTTGAGTGTATGTGTGTTTGTTGAAGGATGTGTGTTTGTTAGAGTATGTGTTTGTTAGTGTTTGTGAGTGTATGTGTTGGTGAGTGTATGTGTTTGTGAGTGTATGTGTTTGTGAGTGTATGTGTGTTTGTTATTGTATGTGTTTGTGTGTTTATTTGTTTGTGAGTGTATGTGCGTGTAAAAAAATAACCTTGTGTTGATGGTCATGGTGGCATCATCGGCCTCTTGCTTCACTGTGAAGTAATTTAAATAAACGAAATTGAAAGCATTTTAAAGTAGTTTAAAATAAAAAGTTGTCGGTGTGAGTTGGGAGGAGGTGAATGGAGGAGACGAACGTTTGCTTCCAAGCATATCTGACGGAGCAAGTATGGAGAGGAAATATGACGCTGTCACTAATGTTATATTTGACTCACTTTTTCTCTCCCTCTCTCTCTCTCTCTCTCTTCATTTCTATTTTAATTTATCTTTATTTCAAATTTCTTTTTTGCTATTTTTACCTCCAGTCACAATGACACTTGCATGCGGCGTACTAACTGAAAAAAAGGAATTTATTTAGTAAACCATAAAGATGTACTGTACCCACGCACTCTTCAAATACTTCTCACCCCTCACCACAATGGACACTTGCTTGCACTCTTAAGTGCAATTTCACTACACTGTATACAATCTTAATATGTACGTAATGTAAGTTCAATTCATCCACTTAAAAAACATCAGTACCACATACAACACATACATACATACATACAATACTTTCATACATTCATACAACACTTACACACATACATACAACGCATACACACATACAACACACACACATGTGTATGTGTATGGAGCCCACACATACACTACAAACAAACACACAACGACGCATACATTCCACAGCCAGCAGTGCATACATCATTCTAAAAAACTTTTCCTCCTCCATCTCTTCCTCTTCATCTTCAGTGATATCATCTTCATCATCGTCATCACTGAAGTTTTACTCATTCTCATTACTATTAACATCATCATCAACAACATCCTCTTCATCAACAATGCCATGTCTTCTTATAATTATCATTATCATCATCGTCCCTGCTATTTTCATCACAACTATCAACATCATCTTCATCATCGTCCTCATCTTCTTCACTATCTTCTTCTCTTCCTCATCAGTATTCCAACAGCTACGCTCGCTCGAGACTTTTCATCGTATCCATGGATGTACTGCTGTACTCCCTCACTCACACACCACACACACACACACACACATGCACACACACACTTTCACATGCATACAAAGAGATGGTTTGGTGGTTAATGTGTATAAATATAAATAATAGACACACTCAACATAAAATATTTACAAAGCACGCAGAACATTAGAAAATTAGGCACAGTCAGTCTTTTCCATGTACATCCTCCTTTGAAAATCTTTTCTAAGAAATAATTATGAAGGGAGTGAGCTGGTGAGAAGGCATGCAGTAGCACATGTATACACATACAACTCAGGGCAATTCATTAAGTATTCAATTACGTGTTCATTGTATGCAATGTTTCAATACACTTGTTATCAATAGGAATGAAGAACATACATATTTACAAGTGTGTGTGTGTGTGTGTGTGTGTGTGTGTGTGTGTGGTGTGTGGTGTGTGTGTGTGTGACAATTCGTAACATCCTACAAGCATATGACGTATTTGCTTCCTTAATCAATTGGGAAATGGTTGAAAATGTAAGTTTTCGTAAATAGACTGGTTGGTGTTTGGAGTTTCATTGTTTCATTTTAGTTAAAAATAAAATTACAAAGATATAACAAAATGAACAAGCAGCAGGTGAACACAAAAATCTACAACAGGCACAACAAATGTACAAATACGACGAGCAATCAAACACAACAAATGCAACAAAGAGACAATACAACAAACATACCAACACAAAAAAGAGACAATACAACAAACCTACAAACAAACACACCAAACATCACTCACATCTCTTCTTCTCAACTCTTTTTAACTTGCGTTTTTTGAACTGTTTAGAGAGGAAGATGGTGCAGACCATGCAGCCAATGAATGTGGTCATCGAACCGACCACTGTCCCAATGATGCCAGAGGTGGAGGCAGTGATGAAACCTATCATAGGATCTAAAAATAAATTTGCGTGTGTGTGTGTGTGTGTGTGTGTGTGTGTATCTGTATGTTTCTAATTGTGCATATGCGCGTAATATGCACACTAATGAACTTATCAACTAATACGTTGTATGTCAGAGTTATTGTTGCAACTGAAATGAACAGCCCCAACGAGACTGACCAGAAGTATTGAACATGACTTCGGCACTCGGCAGACTTTCAGAATTGTTGCTGAGCGATATGACCCTAAAGAAGTAGCTGATACCCCACGATGGTCTCTTCCAGATGAAGTACGTGGTCGGAGCGTTTACATTTTCGGTGAAAGGCACCCACGAACCGAAAGTTCGGTATTGGACCGTGTAAGCATAAACGGGCAGGGGGCTGTTGACAGGGGCCGACCAGCTGATGTGCAGACTTCGTTTCAAATCCAACCCATCCTTCGCTTCCTTTTCCAATCTGTTTGTGTATGTTTCAAATGTGTCACTGTTATGGTTGTTATCTTCAGTTTATCAAACACAACCTGTAATTTAAAAAAAGTTTACAACTTTTAAAGCTTTGAAAAAATTTATTTGACGCAACTCATTATTTTTTTGTTGTGATTCCTAGTGTTAGGGAGACGTAAATTCAGCTTTCCACAAACATTCAATGTAGGCATACGCTTAATAAGTGATACAAGTGCATGGTTGTGATGAATGGCCATGCATTCCAGCCCGGTTACTACAAAATCCCATCGCTAACAACTACGATCAACAATCGAGGAATTTGTGAATAATTTCAATTTCCGCTCACTTCTACGACCATCCAATGTGCACAACAAATAAATGATCAATCACTCAACTAATTAAGCAACCACTCATTTAGTCAGCTTGCCAACCAATCACTCAACCAGCACAAAAATCGACAACTAACCGACCACCAACTGACTACCAGCCGACCACCAACTGACCACCAACCGACCACCAACCGACCACCAACCGACAACCAACCGACCACCAACCAGCCACTAACCAACCACTAACCAACCACCAACCAACCACCAACCGATCATCAACCGATCATCAACCGACCACTAACCGACCACCAACCGACCACCAACCGACCACCAACCGACCACCAACCTGGCTTTCCTTGCTTCAGCGGTTTCTACTTTGCTATCATTTTTTTCGTCTGGTTTGGCGGTAGGTTTCAGCGTGGGTGGCTTCTTAGTGGTTACAAATTCGTGCCACATGACTGCTAGGTTTGTTGGAGGTTTTGGTCGTAGAAGTATATCTGGGAAAGCGTATTTGTAAATATTATACAGTCTTCTCAGAAAGCCTTCACTGTATTATTATCTTTTACTATTTTTTTAAAGCCATCTTAAAATGTTTTGCGAGTTGTTCACATCTGTGCTTAGTAATTTTTGTAAGTATTTACAATATAAAATTCCAATTTCATACAGTATACACCAGCAAACTGTCACACGCACGCACGTACATGCACGCACAACATACAAACACTTCCAACTAACTCATCGTAGTGGCTGAGTTGTGGTGGGATGTCAGCTGATTAGGCGATGACGTCGCTGAATCATCTACTATGACGTCATGATGAAGATGACAATGACGTGATGATAATAATAATAATGATGTAAAGATGACGATAACAAAAATGATGACGCGGTGATGATTATGATGTGAAGAAGATGGTTATGACGTTGATGATGATGGCATTGTTTACAATCATGGGACAACGGCGCCGATTATACGTGCCGATGATGATAACAATTACAGCGATGTAATTTGACACTGATGATGACGCTGATGACGATTGAAATGATGATGATGATCCAGATGATGATGGCTATGACGATGATAGCATAGTGATGATGATGAGGATGATTATTGAATTTTTCATTACGACGACGACGATTACGACCGTTAAGGGAAGATGAGCATGACGATGATGAAGCCATGATAATGGCGCCTGCGGTGGTAATTAAATAGATGACCGTAATCTTATTCATATTCCCCGATCGGAATTAATACTGTAGTAGTCTCAGTGTAATACCGATACCGACACTTACTATACTGATACCGATACTCACTATACCGACACTTACTATACCGATACTGATACTTAATACACTGGTACCGAATTTTACTATACCGATAACGATACTTAATACACCAATACCGATACTTACGATACCGATATTTATTATACCGATACCGATACTTATAATACCGATACTAACTATAGCGATACTTATACTCACTATACCGATAACGATGTTTTTGTATTTACCTTTTGTATTTACAACGGATGTACTTATTTACTTCTTCTAATTTTTACTTTCACAACGTTACATTAAAACGTTGAACGGTTTACAGCTACATTTACTATGATTTCTTACTTTTTTAACTATTATTACTTAAATACTAAAGCTATATAAGCATAGCGTTAGTATTTAAGTAATAATAGTTTGTTTGTGTTAATGTACAAACTGAAAACAAATGATAAAAGTAATAATAACGAATGGCAACTTACCAATCTTTCTCTTCGGTTGGTAGACCATGTTGTCCTCAGCTGAAACAAGCACAAAATTTGTTTGTGGTGAGTGTAAAAATCAATCACAGACACACATACACACACACACAAATACACACACACAATACACACACAACACATGCACATAAACAAACACACACACAACAAAAACGTCATCAGACAAAACAACAAAACCAAAACCAAACTCAACAACTCGACAGCATCAATTTCTAGCGTCAATTTTGTCGTCTCCATCATCGCCATTCCAGAAAATCGATATTGAATACCGGCCGCAAACACACAACTGCAAAGATGCAACCGCTCCTCAACACACAACAGCATCAATAACTCTGTCGCCGCCCGTTAAACAACATCTTCAACTGAGTGAGTATAACATCATTTTCACCTCGATGATAGTAGTAATCACCATCACAGTATTCTTTCAACATCGCCATCATAGTCGTCGTCATCATCGCCAACAACAGCAGCAACAACATCGTCCGTCTAACAGCCACCACATCATCTGCTTTGTTATAAGGTTACTGCCAACAACAAGCAACAAAACAGCATCTAACAACAACAGACTAATGAAACTAATGAGTTACGCTTATGTAATGGCAGCAGCCAATTTACACGTAATCACAACAACAACAACCAGCGCACGTAACACCACCAACAACAAACAAATACAACAGCAACCAACACAAAAACAACAGCCAAGAGCGTTACCACCGCTAGACAGAGGATGTTGAAAAGGAATAAAACGCAATTGTTAAGCGCTAATAAAGCATTGTAAAATCCTTGCGAGTTTTAGAACGCGCCCATTTACTGCAGAGTTGTTGTTGTTTACATTTGGGTATGAACAACATTTCTCGCGGGAGCACTTTGTTTCGAGCAGTGCCGAAAGTTACTATGCATTAATGTCGAAAGATGAAAGCTTGCTCGCTTGCTGGATTGATGTCTGCTATGCTGCATACTGCTATGCTGTTCGTGTGTTACTGCTACCACGAGCTGATGTTGCGGCTGCCACTGTTGTTGCTGCTGCTACTAACGCGACTGCCGCTACTGCTGGTGACAGTTTATTATTTCAATTATTCGCTAGCAATATTAGAAACATAAATATGGAGGATTAATATGGTAGCGTTGTTTTGATCGTTAAGATGATGATGCTAGAAATTGTCGATGGAGTGTAAAGTATGCTTCAATTTTATTATTTTTTTTTCATCATTTCTGTACAAAAGATTTCACTATCTGATTAAAACTTTAATTCATAGGCAGTTATTTGCGTGAGGCATGTTTATTTTTGTATAGCAACATCAATTTTTCATCATCAAAATCATCACCTCTCATCACGGCATCATCACATCAAATAACATCACATTAAATCCCAGCACATTAAATCACATCAGAGCAGGTCCAACACACACACAACACACAAACACAGTGCTTCCAAGAAATGTCTCATGATCTCAATGAGGAATACTTCGCCTATGTCACCATGGAAACCAAGAGCATCAAAGAACTCACAATAATTAAACATTACTGAAGCCATTATAAATATGTGCCTATGTCTGAGTGTTCGCGCGCCTGTCTGTCTGTGCATCTTTGCATGTGTGTTTGTGAATAAATAATAAATGCATGCTTTAACGTATTTGATTGTTAAACTTTTTTTAATAGCGCGTGTGAATGTACGTACGTGTACATTGTACAATTCGCAAATGTTTTCTAACATTAAAGTATGTGTACGTGCAGATGTTGCGTTTGAAGATTTATTATAGTAAAATAAACGTGATTGTACTGGCAAGTACGCAAAAGACTTATGATTGTGTGTACTTTTAATCGCCTGCCATTCCGATGAATACATATACGTAACAATATCCGGGAACGACATTCTTCCGCAAATATTTTCGCATACGCAGTCATGAGTACACGCGCCTGATTAATTAAAATTTCAATCTTCACTTACAATGCGTGTTCCCCTTTGTTGTTTGTGCATGTGCGTGTGTCTGTACAAGCGTATTTTATCGGTCAGCGTTGCTTATTTGGTGCTTATACATGTTGTTTTAATATATGTATGTGTGTATTGTATGTGTGTGTGTTGTATGTGGTGTGTGTGTGTAGGTATGTGGCTTGTTAACAGTTAATTTATTTTGGGACTCATTCATTTGACGGAACAAATACTCAAGTCACATGACATATTGCTTTATGTTAGTTGGAGTGAGATGGTGACGATAGTAGAAGTGAGGAGATAATGAAGAATGGTGAGAGTATGATGATGTTTACGTTTACCAAAGATAATGAAGCTACGAAATGTTGGGGAATGTATGTTAGACGATGACGGTAACGATGATACCAAGGCAAATTTAATAAATAATTAATCCAATTTTGGCAAATTCTGCTAGACATAAATATATCGTCTAGCGAACTCGAATTAATGCTGAATTATACGAGAGCTACAGTTGCAGGGCAGGCGTTGCTGAGTTCAATGAAAAGAAAATGAATGGTTTGAACGGTTTAAATTTTTTAAATTTATCATTTTTTGATTACACTTTTGATGATGTCTTCAAAAATGACGAGAAGTAATTAATATAAAGAAGTCATAAACAAATTTGCTTCTTCAAATGTCATAATAATTTGACATTAATTAGTTTGGTAGACGTTTTTTGACAATTTGCCGTTGTAATAATTGTAATTTTATTTTTGTTACAATTCTTGTAAAATTTAATTATTTTAATGTTTGCAAGTTAATTTTTCATAACTTTGTCTCATAACTCTTTTAACCTAAAAAAATTTAAACATACGTAAAATTTAATCAAAGGGGCGCAAATGAGGGATTTGCCCAGGGTCCTCTCGTTACCGTCAGATATGGTATACGATAGTCGACAAACTTGATTGAGTGGACAGACAGGCCATCAGGATAAACTCATGAATCCTAGAAACATCGCAACGCAATTACAAATAATATTTTCTTAAAAAAGTTTGTTTCATTGAACGTTGTCGTACAATAAACTGTACACCATTAATTGAGATATTTTACGCATAAGTCAGTTAACTACACAAACTAAAATACAATAAAATTTTTATAGAGATTCAATCAGTTGTGGTTAGGCTTCATTGACAAAGCATGGCGAAGAAACATTTCAAAAACTTTTACTTTACATGAAATGAGTTGCTGATCAATTTGCCAACGCAATTTTTTTATCTATCAAGGAATAAATAATCATTTCACACTGTTACACAAACATCCAAATTTTAACCACCACCATCATCATCATCTTCATGATCCTCATCTTTACCAGCCTCTCATCATCATCGTCGTCGTCATTACCATCATCGTCGACACCATCATGCCAAATGTCTGTCAAAATTTTCACCACCATCAAAACTAACTTCTGGTATAGATTTCATACTCCGTGCTCAGAATGGATCTGTTGGTCAGTTTGGAATGTGCCTTGATGTAGACGCTGTACCTGGTCTGCGGGGTTAGCTGGAAGATGGTGATGGTGTTCGAGGCGTTCTCACTGATCTCGTACGTCCTGGTAACGTTGCGGATGAATAGCGACGATGGTGGTGGCGTTAGTGTCGACTGCGATGACGTCGTCGATGATGAGGAAACGTATGATGAAGAAATTGATGTCGTTGCATGAGGTGTTGAAGTTGTGGTGGTCGTTGTCGTCTGGAAGATTTGGTTCTTTATTCTGTTGGGGGTTGGTGGTGATTGGAATGGATTGATTCGTTGATGAATGAATGAGTGAATGAGTGAGTGAGTAAATGAATGAGTGAGTGTGTGAATGAATGAGTGAGTGAGTGAACAAAACGTACAGATAAATGAATGAGCAAAATTATTAGATAAAATGGTGCTTGCAGTAATAAAGGTGATATTGTTGTTGATGACAAAGATAACGCTGACGAGGCGATCAAAACGACAATGACGATGATGGAGATGATGATGATGATGGTTTAGATGAGAATGATAATGATGTAGATGAGAATGATGATGATAATGGTGATGACAACAGTGATGACGATGTAGATTAAAATGATGATGAGTATTTTGGCAATTGTACCAAAAAATGACTAAAAAAATTTTTATAATGAAAACGATAATTGTAATGATGATGGCTATAATTACATAAATACAATAAAGATGATGATGGCGTCAAAAATGTTAACGACGACAAAGATGATAATGACGAAAATGATTATGACGTCAGTGACGCTGACGATGGTGGTGATGATGATGAGGAGGAGGAGGAAGACAACGTTGACTGAGCCTCTCAATAAAACAATATTGAGCCATAAATTTATATAATTGGTCGTTGAACGGCCGTTATTATCGCTAGTGCATCGTCGTCATCATCATTAACATCATATCATCATCAACATCATCATCAACATCGTATCATCATTATTTTCATCATATGTTCATCATCATTTACATCATAACCATCATCATCATTAATATCATCATCATCATATTGTCATCATCATCATTTACATGATAATTGTCATCATTTGCATTATATTACTATCTGCCTAACGATTTCATCATAGTCACCATCATCACAGCCGGCCATCATCATTGTCATCGTTATAATTTAGTCCTCATCATCATGTTTCTCATGTTCGTTATCATTTTAGGAACCGTAATTGTCATCAGCATCACCATTTTCAACCTCACTATCATAATCATTTTTTTTTGTTGCATCATCATCATCATTCTCGTCTTCATTATCATTACTACCAGCATCATCATCATCCTCATCATCTTCTCCACACTCTCCATCATAGTTGTACCAAGCGTTAAGTTCTTGTCAAATATTTATAGCTGCAATCAAAATCCGCCTGAATATTTAACGAGATTTCTTTGGATATGTAAGGCATGGATAGGTAGGTAGGCGGATGGATGAATAGATAGATGAATGGATGAATGAAAGAATGAATGACTGGATTGATAGATGGGTGGATGGATGGTCGAGAGGTTGGTTGAATAGATGGATGGTGGATGGGCGAACGGCTGAGTGGTTGGATGAATAAATGGATCGATGGACTGTCAAAGAGATAGATAAAAGAAATACATGCAAGGAAGAAGTGATGAAAATATAAATAAATAGAATGATAAAAATATGGAGGAGAGGTTGTGTTCTGCCACTTTGTGAACATATTTTTAAGTTCTTTCAAAAAACTGTTGTCAAACTATTTTCAATATTCTAGTCTATATATTTTTTTTGAACGAATATTTTCTTGTTTGGAAGTTAATAAATCCAAGAGTGAGTGAGTCACTTCTGAATGAGTGCATTTTAAATACTTCAATAACAACAAGTAACGACAATCTGATCACTAGTTTCAAAAAATTTATAAAATAAATGTAATAATAGTTATCAACGAAAAAGTTTGACTGGAATTAACACATAAAAATAATCTACGTCCTGTCCATAGTAATCCATATCTAGGTGTAGGCGTACTCTGTAATGTTTGTTTTTCATGGCACGGTCAGCCACCTTTGTAATAAGCTTTGTTGAGAGTTTACGGTGAATGTCTTTATTTGCTCGCCGAAGATAGCGAGAGGGGTAACATTGTTTGAATGTTATAATGATCGGACGGATGAATAAATGGCTGGTTGAGGAAATTGTTGAACGATTGAATAGCTAGATGGTTGATGAAATTGTTGAATGATTGAATGGTTGGTTGTTTTGCTTAGATGAAAGATTGAATAAACTGGTTGAACGTTCGATTTACTGAATGAAAAAATTGTAATTTAAATATTTTTTTATAAAGTTTGATATAAATTGCTGATAGTTTAAGAATTTAAAAAAGGTTAAAACAAATATCTAATTAATAAAAGAATTTGCTGGACGGTTTGAATAATTATTAATTTATTGATTTATTGATTGAATAAAAATTTAGTTTAAAAAAGATTACACAAATAATCTCAGTGAAGAATGAAAAACCAAAGCAAAATATGGACAATGAAATGAAAGGTCGTGAGATGTTAGCCGCTGGTTCGGAGACTTTCCAATTGCTAATTTAGATAGATAGAGAGAGAGAGAGAGAGAGAGAAAGAAAGAGAGAGAGAGAGTTAAACGTCATAGTTAATAGTTGAGTTAAACTTCATAAGTGAAATAGTGTGACGGATCTTGTTTTAAGTGTGTCGTCTAGACATTAAAATACAAATTTTTTTGAAATTTTAAAAATAAATCTAAAAATCTTAAAATGAAAATATTTAAAAAAATTTGAAATAAGTAATAAAATACTCTAAACCTGAAACAATAAAAAATATTTATCCATCTGCTTAAATACTAGAGATAAAAGTTAACAAAGATCAAAGTTAACACAATAAAATGAAAGATCAGGAAATAATGGGACAAAAAATAACTTTTTCATCTTTATACATATGCGTTAAATGATGTGGGCGTCTGTCTGTGTGTATGTCTAAAGTTGTCGGTGGGTGGTGTAACCATACCCCCAATAGATGTTTTTGTTGGGGTTAAATTAAAATTCTTCACAAACCTTTATTTAAATTTATTTTTGAAATTTTGCAGTTGCAGGTACACAAAAGGGAACAATTTTGCAAAATTTAAAGAAAATACTGGTTTTATAAAAAAAATTTTAAGCCAAAAAAATAAGGTCAACTGTTTCTAAGAACTCATCTCTTGCCCAACGTGAAATTTTTTAGCTGCACTACTAAGAGTAACACGTATACAAAACAGTCGCGAACCGCTGAATAATTTATTTAATTTAAATAAAACATACTAACACACATATATACAAACACATATCCATACAAACACACATACATACATACAAACACACATACATACATACAAACACACATACAGACATACATACAAACATACATACATACAAATACACATTCATATAAACACACATACATAAAAACACACATACATACACATGCAAACGCGCCGAAGTGACAGTAAAAAATAAATTAACATCACACATCTGAGAGGAAAGTGATAATGAAAGAAGGAGGTGTGATCCTGACATTTGTTAATTCGTCCATACATCCATCCATCCATTCATCCATCCATCCATCCATTCATTCAGTAGTTCATCTGTCTATCCATCTTTCCGTCCGTCAGCCTCTCAGTTCATCTATCCATCCATTCATCTATCCTTAAATACATACATACATACACACACCTATCATTATACCCATCTTTCTATCCATCCATCCATCCGTCCAAACATCCATCTTTCATCCACCATTCATTAGCTCATCCATCCATCTATCCTTCCAACTTAATCAGCATTGAGGGATTCCGTGGTGATGAATTTTGAAAATATAATCCAAATTATTCCTCAATGTATCATCATCCTTATTCTTAACATCATCATCACAATCATCATCACCACCACCATCAATCATCATAGTAGAATTCGTCCTTCTTCATAGCATATCGCGGGGAATGTTGGGAGGAATGAAAGAAGAGTGGACAGAACACAAATTTTCAAACATCAGGATGCTTTGAATGGAGTGAAACAGCATAGATATGCGAAAGGAGTAGTTGATAACAGAAAAATACTGAAGAAAAAATAAAAAACAAAAGATAGAGGAGAGAGAGAGAACGAAAGAAAGAGAGAAAAAAGAAGAAAAAGAAAGAGAGGGAAAAAAAGAAAGAGAGAGAAAGAAAAAGAGAAAGAGAGAGGGAGAGAGAGAAAAAAGAGAACGAGGGAGAGATAAATATAGAAAAATAACCTAACCTAAAGAAAAAAGTTTAAATGGTGCAACCACGTGAACAATAACAACATTGCAAGACATGACATGATGACAGAGATGAAACAACATCATCAGGGCACATCAACAACAATGACAACGAAAACAACAACATAATTACAACGCATTTATTATTACAATAACAACATCATTACAACAACATCAATAAGACCAATGGCAACAGAAGCAATGACATCAACATCATCGAGGTTACAATAGCAACGTCATTACAGCAACGGTCAAGCTCACAATAAAAATTACAATTGTAGAATGGCGCAATAAAACTTAAAATATTGAGATGTTAAAACTACTATGGCGACATGGACGTTGTGATCATAACCGTAAATATTTACGCACGCACACGCTCACTAATAACTGAAATTCATAGAGTTTACAATGCATACTATTATATTACAGCACAAAACAACAAACGTACAACAACAAACAAATAACAAATTAACAACATCAACACATTAATAACAACAACAACAAACAATGGCACCAGACACCAGTACAGCGACAACAACAGCAACAACGACAACAACAGCAACAACAAAAACAGCCACAACTTACATGACTTCGAATCTGTACTCATCATCTGGGAAGTCCTTGAGGAAGGGAGGCAGCCAGGAGAGTTGGATGCTGGTGGGGGTCGACTGGGCCTTCAAGCTGTGTACTGACAGTGCCTCGTCCGCTAAAACATTTTGAAAATACATTATTATTATTTTATATTATTATTAATGTTATTCTTATTATTATTAATGTTATTCTTATTATTATTAATGTTATTATTATTATTATTGATAAATTAATTTTCTAATAAAAATAAATTTTATAAATTATTTACATTTACTTATTTACACTCTTATATATTATTAAAAATTTTCGATTGATTTCATTTTGATTTTATCTTCTTGGTCAATAAAAGATTGTTCCCATTATTAATGTTATTATTTTTTTTATTATTCTTAATATTATTGTTGTTATTATTTGTATTTTTATTATTATTAATATCATTTGAGAATTTATATGGCGTCCTTTATATAACTATGTTTAATATACTATACATGTAAATAAATAAATATATGAAAAAAATATTTATATCATATTTATGTGTGTGTGTGTGTGTGTGTGAATGTATGTGAATATATGTGCGTGTTTACACCAAATATAGACTTTCACGTAATAATAAGCAGACGAGTTTTCCTGCAAAGTTATGAATATTTATGAGATGACGTTAGTCATGGAGTTGGTCGCTAAATGAAAAAAATTAACGCGTATGTGTTTATTCATGCTCACACACACACACACGCACACACATACAAATACACACACGCACGCACACAATCCATACACATTCACACACACTTCATGAAAAACGCAAAAGAAAGAATTTTTTTCTATTACTATTTTGTGATTTAAGCAAATGCAGTTACGGTGATTAAATTAGAACAGAATAGTGAGAAAAAAAAACCAAAGAGTAGAAAATTTCTTCTCTTCGAATCATTAACCTATGGACCTCAATTATTTTACACAACCTTCTCTCACTACTACCACAACAACTGGCTGTGTAGGTCATTCAACTTTTATTTTGGCAGGTTTGTTGCATGTTGTTGGCCAGCATCAAAAACAGTATCACCAATCCTATCTTCACCTTACCACACTTATTTAATCCTATCATCTTAATATATATGCAAACTTCAGCTATATTTCTCTCTCTCTCTTTTTCTTTCTTTCTCTATCCCTTTCTTTCTTTCTCTCTTTTTCTATTTTTTTCTAGATTTCTCTGTCTCTCACTAACTTTTCTTTTCATGTTTTGTTTTATTTTCAAATTCTTCT